AAAAACAAAAAAAAAGAAGTGGCGACAACTGCAGGACTCGAACCTGCGCGGGCAAAGCCCAAAAGATTTCAAGTCTTTCTCCTTAACCGCTCGGACAAGTTGCCTTATTCTTAAAAATTCTACAAATTTTAATCAATATGTATACAAAATAATCCCATTCAATCTTATAATAAATATTTTCACATTTTTTTTTGAACGATCTCTACATTGAAATTATAATTAATTATTTATTCATTATCATTAAGCGTTATATATGTATCCAGTACTGCTAAATTAAGATGTTTTTTCTTTTCACTTTTTACCATTAATTCTAAATCCTCAATATTTTGAATTTCATTTGACTTGTTAGTATCCATCTTGTAAAGCCCTCTATGTCCCTCTAATTGAGTAATAGCGTTGGCTCTGATTTGACCAAGAACAACTCTGTGAGCCTTACGAGCTGGTAATGACCTGTCGAATACTTTATCCATATCCTCCAAGGCAATACCCTTTGTTTCAGGAACACAGAAAAACACAAATGGGATGGATAATGCTGCTAAACACGCAAAGAAAAAGTAAATACCATATTCCATTGTGTCAATCATTTTGGTAGTGAATCTTGACATTATGAAAATAGGAATCCAGGAAATAGCCGCATTGATTGCTTGGACAAATGATCTAATATTCTGATCGAAGACTTCACTTCCAACAACAAATGGACCACCAGACCAAGCCAAAATAAACGAGGCAATCCAGAAGTACATCATCACAATAGCAGCAGTACCACCTGGGCCAGCTTCAACTCCTGGTTTAGAAGGATCATTAACCTTCAAATAAGCACCGATGTACCAAAAGCAAATGGAACATACTGTGGAAGAAACCATGAATGCCTTTCTTCTACCAAACGTGTCAACAATAAACAAAATGTAGATGAAGGTACACACAAATTTGACCACACCAAACATACCCGTTGAAAATAATGTGGCATTTGTTCCTTTAACCCCTAAATTGGCGAAAATAATAGGGGAGTAGTAATTGATAGATTGAATTCCCAAGAAATTTTGAAACAAAAATAACGAACAGGTGATAAGTAACCTGAATAAGATTTTGTGATCTTTGAAGAACACTTGTTTGAATGGATCCCATAATTTGAGACCAATATGAAGCCTTTGTGATTCTATAGATTCTTTAACCTGGTTAACCTCATAGACCATGTATTCATCATCTTCCGGTAAGTTTCTAAACCATTTTAAGTTTTTAATAGCTTCATCATGTTTGCCTACACTGTACAACCATCTTGGACTTTCTTTCATAATAACACTTCCAGCAAAGAAGATACCACTTGGGATTAACTGCACTGCAAAAGGAATAAACCACTGTTTTTTGGAAGGACCAATATGAGAATCAATCCCATAGTTGATCCAAAATCCAACTAAATCACCAATTCTCCAACCGATTTCATACAAAGCAATCACTCTACCTCTAATTGCAGGAGGCGAAATTTCACTCAAATACACTGGAGTTAAGTTTGTAGAGAAACCTACTGCCAACCCAGCTAATACTCTACCGACGTAAATTGGTGCAAGGCCATTCTTTGACAGAGCTGCTAACATTATAGCCGATCCTATTGTAATGGTGGTTGCACTAATGATCAAGGAAATCCTTCTACCCAAATAGAATGAAAAAGGGTACGAGAATAATGCTCCGAAGAAACATCCCGCATGAAAGACAGAAATAACATTGGAAATTATATCTCCTGCTTCGTTCTCTGACATTTTATCAAGGCCGAACTCTGACCTGAAAGATGGTAATGACACTGTACCCCCAATAAATCCACCATCATACCCGATAATAATAGCTGCCGATGATGCAAGAAGAGCTGTTCCATACACTCTCCAGTTATAAACCTGTGATGGAGTGGGTCTGTCCTCTACCTTTTCGAATTTCAAGCCACCAACAATTTTATTCAATAACAGTCTACGTGGTCCACTTACTGATGATTGTCCCATAGAAGATGTATCTATGTTTTTAGAAGATTGCAGTGAAATACACAGTTGAGATTTGATCTTATCATCCATGATGCTTTTCTATAGTTAATTTTATAATCCTCTAACTATATCTCATATCAAAGCATATACATATATATATATGCTTTTCTAAATATTTGACTCTTTTGTTACCCCACAAGCAACAGTTTTATTATCTGTACAAATCGTCTATGTAATACTTAATTTACGGACGAACTGAGATTCAGCAGCGACTAGATAAATTTTTACGTGAGTGAAGTGTGGAGGGGCGTGGAGGATACCACGCAATTATAGATATTTTGAGGATTAATTATATGATCCCCCAAACACCTATTTGGGGGTCTGATGGAGGATTCAAGTATAATCCTTTTGGGTTCTCTATATAATTATACTATTAACTATGGGACTTGCCCCCACATAAATATTTGGGGGATTGTGTGGAGGTAAAGGAAATTCAAACACGAGCCTCTAAATAGACCATCTTTGCTAATGAAAGTCACTAAAATCCGTCATTGCCAAGTTTTAATTCCAAGTCCTTGATTGCAGCACTAAGTTCACTCTTATTTTCCATTAATGGTGTCAATTCGTCGAATCTTCTCTGTTTTGTGACTTGTTCAATAAGGGTTTCCACTAAGAATTTTTGTTCATTCATTACCATCAAACTTTCTCTTAATTCCCTAATTTCTTTCTTCGTTAACTTCGGGGTCGCTACAGACTGCTCATTTGGCTTCATCAGCTCTAGTAATTTATTTTCCTGCTGCTTATACTCCTTGTTTAGAACTTTGACATTAACTAACGTTTCCTGTAAAAATATGGTACATCCTTGATAAATGTTGTTAATCAATTTTGCATACGGTAAGTATGCTTCTTTTACGGCTAGTCTATCATTAACTTTATCAAAAAATTTGGTTTTAAACAGAATTGTTAAGGACTCAAAGTCTTTCATGAATGCCATTAATTTAATCCTTAGTTTGTTCGTAGCTTGGTTATTGGGGTCCGTTACTAATTTTTTATACCTTGGTATCATCGCTTGAATCTTTCTCTTGGTCATTAATATCTCAGTATAAACTAAGAATATGCCGTCTTCTTTAGAATCTTTTAGACTCTTTAATTTCCATTCATGCAACAAATCGTTTTTGCAGTTGATACAGCACCTTACAGAAAATCTATTGTCTTCCGTGTTCAACAAATCATCAAGATTCAGTTTTACGAGAGGTGAATAGTTTAATGTTACTAGTTTATCTAGTAATTTACTCAAAGGAACAACAATCAGACAGTTTGACCTTTCTCCAAATGAATCATCACAAACTATTTTACCACACAACCTACAGTGATGCTTTCTGATCAACATGCTGAATTTTGTTAAGCAAATATTACAATGAGTTATTTTTGCATCAATTTGCCAGTTGTCATGACCAACAATCTCCTGTTCACTTTCCAATATGGAATCTTTAGAATTGTTTAACGATAACCATCGTATGTTGTTTAGTATTGTCTTATCCCTTGTAGATAAAAAATTGTCAGCATGGAGATTGACTACCTTGATAAACTTTTTTTGAATTTTATTTCTCACCAATTCTTTGGTATCAACATAAGATTGTCTTTTTTGAAGGAAAATGCTTGTTACATCATGAACATTGGACTGTGTACCTTCAATTAAATCTGGCTTTGCAAGATAACATTTCTCACAGCACCTGCACCATTGGCCCTCTTTTGTAGTATCATATAGAGGCTCCTTGTTGTCCTCAGAATTTCTTAACTTTACCTTATTGTAGGTATGCTGGTTACAAAACAAGTCTCCGCATTTTCTGCAATTCACAATACCATTTTTGACGTTTAATGATTTATTGCAAGTGGGATGTGTACATACATTTTGAGATGTCAGTGGCTTTTTCCAATGTACTCTAGTTACTCTAGCTCTCAGTTTATCCATCGACGGAGAACTTGCATTTGAGCGAGCATCATGAAGACTGCCTTCGTTTGTTGTTATATTATCGCTGAGACTAAATTCTTTACTATTGTCTATCAAATCAAGCTTGATTGTCTTTCGTTTGACAGGTGTGACTATTTCTTGTGATGGTTTCTTTCTAAACCATTTTGTTATGTCATTATTAATAAATTCATTACTCAAGACTTTAGGAAGAACAGTTGCGTTTGTCTCTTCATTTGCTTCCCCTGCTCCTGGTGTAGTTTCAGATATATTATGCTCATCGTCAATATGCTGGTTCAACTGATATAGACTAATCATCTGCTCATTACAAATTGGACACATAACATCTTCAGCTACGTTATCTGTTATGTTGTATGTATTCTTATGATCATATGAATGGTCCTCTTCCTCGATTGAGTCATTTGGGCCAAATATTGTATTTCTTTCCTCGTTTCGCTTTGGCGTGGGACTGGCATGAGAATCTGGATTTGAATTCGAAAACAAGTTGCTTGACTTGTCATTCTGAACATTGGCAGGTGACTTAAACGGCGACCCTAATACCCTCCTCAGTGTGGGGGGTTTTAAGTTAGACAGAGCCATAATTCATTCTGTACCGATATATCACTAGTACTACGAAGCCATATAGAGATTATCATCGATTTTAGGATCCCCCCGGAAATCGACACTCATGGAACATCAATACACGTGCCACACATACTTAAACACCCGGAAGTCAAACGTTCTGAATAATGGAACCTGTTCCTACAGTGGCCAGGGTTCTACTGGCGTGACACCTCTATTGATATAAGCAATTCTTGCAATTCTACGCATGGTTATTCTTTTGTACTGTATTCATTTTTAATCAATATATAGAGAATCGAAACTCTCGTGTTATACAGGAAATGCTAATTTATCTACAATTAAGCAACTTGTTCAATAATAGTTGGAACCCCCTATAAAAGCAATAGCAATACGGAATGGATGTCTACACTATGCTTTCGTTCAAAGATAACCCATCTTCTCAATGATTTAATCTAATTTTTGCACTAACGATTCTAAAGCCTTACCGATGTCCAAGTTTGGATCTTCCCAGTTGATAGATCCGCTGCTTTGTTGAGGAGCAGGTGTCTTAGCTTGGTTCTTATTGGCGTATTCAGCTTTAGCTTGCTTGATTAAGTTTTCTTCCTTTTTCCATTGGGAAAGCGATTGTCTTTCGGCCTCACTTGATTCTAAGTTATATCTGTGGACAGCACCATAAACAACACCAGCTCCTAAAAGGGAGTACCTTAAAACATTGAATGTAGCAGACATCTTAGTTCTTCTTTTTTTTGATTAATTACTTCTGGTAAGTCTACCTATATTGATGGTTGTATGGGTATTTTTCATTATTTTACCTTTGTTTCCCTCGTTCGGGTGGAAAATTTCATTGGATAAAAAAAAAGATTACATAATCCAAACATACTGCACAAAACCCCAAACCATTTTACTATAGAATATCTACGACACTTGATATGGAAGGACGCTAGATATGGTCCTTTTAAATACGACAAATCCAATTAATAAAGGTGTAATATATATAATTGTGATTGTTATGCTGTTGCTTGTATCTTTTGCTACGAAGAGAGGATTTTCGACGGGATGTAACACGGCTAGAAGTACGATCAGCAAAAGAACATTCGGATTTTCATCATCGTGGTCGCAAGGTTCATCTCATCATGGGGGATCAGCCAGTGCAGCGGCTAACAACTTTGCTGCGACATCGACGAAGTTGATGCCATACAATATTGCGGTGGCGTACCAACCGAAGGATAGAGAGGAATCGAACCTCTTTAAGAGCAAAAACCATAAAGCTAGCCCAGCACAGAAGTCGCCTACGGGAGAAGACAATTTATTCGTGTCCGAGAAGTCACAGGATGGCTACGTTGCTCTTGGAGTGGCAGACGGAGTGGGAGGATGGTCGGAAGCTGGGTACGATTCGTCGGCCATTTCTAGGGAGTTGTGTGCGTCAATGAAGGGGATATTCGAACAACAGCAGGAGCATGCGAATTTGACGCCTAAAAGCCTTTTGGCAGATGCATTTAAGGAAATACAAAACTCCCCAAAGGTTGAAATAGGTGGAACTACTGCATGTTTGGGAATTTTGACTCCTGACTATAAACTTAAGGTAGCCAACTTGGGAGACTCGTGGTGCGGGTTATTCCGTGATTACAAGTTGATAAACGAAACAAATTTCCAGACACATAATTTTAACACTCCATACCAATTAGCCAAGATTCCATTTCAAATAGTAAGACAAGCTGAACTTGAAGGGAGACGGTATATCATTGACACCCCTGATCGTGCAGATGAATATTCCTGGGATTTGCAAAAAGACGATATAATCATGTTCGCAACAGATGGGGTCACCGATAATGTCATCCCTAATGATATTGAACTTTTCTTAAAAGATAAGTTCGAGCAACAACCTAAGGTAGACTTAGCTGACATTTCGAAATCTTTTGTGGAGGAAGTTGTTAAGGTATCGAAGGACGTCAACTTTCCAAGTGCATTTGCACAAGAGTTATCTAGATTGACCGGCCAAAAATATTTGGGAGGTAAAGAAGACGACATAACTGTTGTATTAGTTAAAGTTACATAACTTTATATACTTACTTAATTATCCATGTTTAAGACTAGATTCATGATTCTTTCTCTATGTGTTTTTTGATTGGCCTGCTCCTTTAATAACGATTCCGCAAATTTGGTATCAGTAGGTAAATTGACCTGTTTGACATTATTTTTTTTACCCAGTTTCGTTAGCAAACTAAAAGAAATCTTATTTTCATTCGATCCTTGTGATGCATTTATTTTAGGTGGTAATGGAACATTAAATTTATTCCTTGAAGATACATTGGCCTTATTATATTCATAAGAATCAAGGACAATTTTTTGGAATTCTTTATCCAAGTCATCAGCAAATTTCTTATTTTCTTCTGAAAATTGTGCCACCCTTTCTATTTCTTCATCTTCTTCATACTCCTCGTCCTCATCATCATCATCATCATCTTCTTCTTCATCATCTTCATCAGCATCCTCATCATTATCGCTATCATCGTCACTATCGTCCTCATCATCCATATCTAATTCATCATCATCATCCTCCACTTCTTCATCATCATCCTCATCATCCTCATCATCGTCGTATTCCTCAGTTTGTTGAAATCCCTTTTGTTGAATAATTTCTTGCAATTTATGTATAGATTCTGTTAAATCTCTGAATCTATCCATCTCTAAATTAGGATAGTATTTAGTAAAGAGATCATTTAATTGGAATTCAATTTCGATTGGAATAGGTTGTTGTTTACAGAAGCAGTAAAACTGAAAAAAAGTTAGAAATATTCTCAACAAATCTTCATTCACTTCATTTTTACGTTTGATTGATTTCAATTTTGACGATTTCTTGGTTCCAGTTGATTTCACAATTGAGTTCAAATTATTCAATAACATGCAACACAATTGGATTCTAAAATAATTGTTAGGCAAATCAATTTCTATATCATAATTATTAGGTAATGGTTGGTTATTTGGGTGTCCTAAGCATAAAATCTTGTATAATAGATCAATGACAAATTTGAAATTTAGTAATTTCAAATTATACAATTCACTAATAAATTTAACGTGGGATATCCTAGTTCGATTAAGTCTATAATCATTAAGCTCTAATCCCCTCATTATCTTTTCAACAATCGTATCCACGGTTTTAATTAATAATGATTTGTATTTCTTTGACAATTGTTCCAATAATTTACTTAATTCAACAATGTTTTCATAGTTGAGTAAATCTGGTGATGCAAAAACATCTAGTAATGCTGATTGTAACTCTTCATCATTGGAATAATCAAATTTCTTCAATGTTCTTAATACAAGCGTAAAAGTCTTTGAATTCAATTCATATCTGGATAGCCTGATAATAAACTGTTGTTGTGCAGTCAATTTTGGTTTCTCGTTATGTAACTGATTAATTTTTGTTGCTGGAGGTATTACAACAATTAGTAAATTATTAATAGCCAATTTGTCGTTAGCTGTAAGATTATCATTTTTCAGCTTTTGTTTCAATAATTCTATCATCTCATTCATTAGTGTTTTGTAATCAGGATCATTTAATAAAAATCTACCGCATTGTTCGTAAAAAACAGACAAGATATCGATATTGTTCGTCAATGAAATATTAATCGTTAAACTTCTAATCTTATGAAAAATAACATGGGTTGGTATTAGCTTAAATTTAATTAATTCACAAAAAAAGAAAATATTTTTAAAGTTCAACTTATTATTATAAATTTGAGAACGGAATCCTTTGTCTAAATAAGTAGTTAATTCATCAATTAATGTTTTTAAACTTGATTCGTTGATCTTTAAAAAACGGGAATAAAATCTTAAATTATTAATATTTGGGGTCTCGATGAAAAATTTCATTATTCTGTTTCTTGTGGCTTTATTATTTAAATCTAAATTAACGAATTCAGATACTAATGCATCAATTTCCAGTTCGTTTGATACATTTTCTAGTTTTGTAATAAATTCATTTATCTTTTCACCGCTTGATATTTCAGAAATAGTCTCAGGTTTATTACATATTAGCTCAGAGATATCTGGAATTTTTGTATAAAAATTTCTTTCTTTAAGATTATCCCATATTTCTAAGTCATCTTCATTCAAACTCTTATTCTTTACCAACCCTGTTACCACACTTTCTTCCTCTTCTGGTTGATTGTTTGGCAATTCAGGCATATCCATTTTCAAAATCGAACACAAGAATTCACTGCTATTCTTAAATTTGTCAAATAAGGATGTAACATAGTTTATATCAGTAATGTTTTCTTCTAATATTTTACCTGTTCTAATTGAAGCTTTTTTATTACGCTCGGTGAGCTTGCCCAACTTTGTATTTAATTGTACCAAGATTTCGAGTATTGCCAGCGTATATATTTTAAAGATTTGTTGTAATATATTTCTAGTTTCAAAAGGAAGCAAAGAATTATCATTATCATATATTGCGTGACTAAATCGCTTTAAAAAAACTTGGGAAATTGGTAACGAATTTCCCAGCTTAATTTCGAAATTTAGTATATCTTTCAACACTAAGATTACTATGGCTTCATTTTGGGCTTTAGAATACTTTTTAACTATAAAACCAGGAAGATTTTCACGATCACAGTCTTTGATAGTCCTGAAAATACCAATTAAATAAAATTCCATCAAAAGTCTGATTAAATTTTTTTGTCTTATTACCCTTAACTGATCCTCCTTTTCTTTCTCTTGTTCATTGACCGGTTGTCTACTAGGACTGGCTAATCCATTCAAGAAATTAGCGAATAAATATGGCGTAAAACTCGTAGAAAACCTTTGATGCAAAGCAGATACAATTTCCATCGCTGCCAAGATGTCATCACCTTTACTAACTTTAAGTAGCCCTGCGCTAACAGACAGAATTATCTCCGATAAATATTTTTCTAAGGAAACGGTACTAACATCTTTTAATATGTTCTGACATTGATCACCGCTTATTGTTCTGATTTTCTTTATGAAAGTGGTGTTTTTTTTCAAAGACGAGTCTAGTTTAGAGCTCGTTTTAAAAACTTCTTCGCCATCCCATGCTCTAGTATTAAGATCCAATAATTCTCTCCTTCTAGCATCTAACTCTTCGGACATACTTAATCATATAGCTATTGAGTTTATTCTTTGAATTTAACTAACTCTACTTAACCTGAGAAGACCGAATGTTGACTTTACTCACGTGAGAAAAATTCTGATGATTATTTCATTACTATGACTATGTACAATATATATATAGAATTAATTGGAAAGTCCGACAAGTGGATGTGGTCTACGAACTCTGTGGAATACTCTTCCTTTGTCCAATCCAAATTTGGATCTTAAATCATTGACACTTCTGTCAAAATGTTGTCTCCAAACGTGGGCACCAACGGCAGTCAAATTATTTTCAGAAGTAAATTCTCTAACATCAAACTTTTCAGAAGAAACGTTATTCAAAGATAATGGTCCTGATTGTCTGAATACCCAGAGACAAGCTCTTTGAATTTGTGCATTTTTTTCCGGTAACAAAGGTTCATATTCTTTGAAAGTGTACTCATCACCATTCGCTAATAATTTAGCAGGGTTAATAATATTATCGACATTATTTAACGGAACATTGCATAAACCATATTGCAAGGTAGTTTTGAATGAGTTAGTAGTTAAATCCGGAGTGTCTGGGTTTATGACTATAACAGAATACAATTGTTCACCGTCAATTCTGTCGAATTCTTGAATCTTTATAGTTGGTGGTTGAGAGACAGCAAAAGTAGGTAATATCTCACCTGGGGTAACCCAGTCTGCAAAAGAAGGATCAACATTGTGAGAGAATTTAACATTTACCTCGGCTTTTGGAACAAGAGTAGGCAATGTATCAGGAATCACGCTTAGTTGTTCTAATCTTTGCATTGTAACCATCAAATCATGCGACTCCCATTTATTTTTCAAGAATTCTCTATAAACTGGTTGATTTTTGTCAATTTTCTCAGGGAAATATTCGATATTATACATCACTTCTGGATTCTGACGTTCAGCTTTGATCAATAACTTATCGATGTGATTATTTATCTGGTCAATTTCTTTTTGATCCTGGATATTGCTGAGTCTTTCCCTCAAAGATTCAACTTGCTTGTAGTAATCTTCACTTTCGGCCTCCAACACATTATAAGCCAACTTAAAAGTGTCATCGATATGGAGCGGGGAGTGATATGCTCTCAGTTCTTCTGGTTTGGCAATAGAAGCTGGTCCCTTTTCTGGGTTAATGCCTTTGAATATGTCTTCATACGTCTCGCTATCAATTAATTTCAAACTCGATGGCCTATTTTTAAACTCGGTCCATACTCCCAATCTGAGAGAGGTACTGGATAAAAACCTGACGTTCCTCGAGCTAACTGACCTGACAAAACGATTACCAATCATGTCACTTATATTATTAAACTAATGAAATCAGGTTGAAGTCCAAGTGACGATTTTTTTTATTCGCTGAAGTGAAATATTTTAAGACAAAAGCGTGCACAAACCAATATTTGAATGAATTCACGTGACTCACAACCAGAACAGCTATATAGCTATATGGGTATGTGCAATGGTAATAAGGACTATAACGAGGAAAGGAAACAAGCCAGAAGGAGAATTGCTTAGATTCAATCCCAAAATGTTCTAGGTTGTGGAGCTGTTAAATCAGAAAAAGTTCGGTGCACAAAAATTTGCATCTTTATTGTGCTCATGGTTAGGAAGTTGCTGCCAACTTCTATTGTGTCCCTGATCCCAAGGAGTCGCCAATCAGGACTGATAGATACAATAGCGGTATATTTATGCGATGCAATTGTTTTTTTTTTGCAATTTGGGAGACGGCGTTGGGACTTACTGTAGTCATCAAAAGTAAAGAGGAACCGAGACCGAATTTTGCACGGGTCAGACTTTAAGGTCATAGTACAATTCCTGGCCTCTTATTGGAATGGCACCGTCAGAGTTCAAGTATGAATTTACAATCATTGCTACGGACAAAATAAGTACTAAATACACATGTTTAAATTAATAATCGTTAAATAAATACTGACCTGTCAGTCTACTTAGAAATATATGAAGGAACAATGGGTAGCTTGTCAAATTTGATAAATTGGCGTTCGTCATCAACGTTCATTGCTGGAAACAATCCTGGTACCACTGGATTATCACACTCTATTTCGCTGAGTAGTTCTTCTTCGTGTTCTTCAACATCAAACTCTATGCCCGTATAGATTCTATCCTCGCCCACATGCAGCTGTAGACCCGGACACTCGTCGTAACTTTTCTGTATCCTATATAACTTCGAATCAAATGTGCATTCACCTGTCCCCGTCAACATGTCGTAGTACGAATTTATGTTCAAATGCAAGTTTAAGTTGAGGGGCAGGTTGGTATATGGTAATGTGGCTTCTTCTGAGGTGATTGTTATCAAGTCATCGTGGTAGTTGGTCGATTCCATTAAATTTAAAAACTCATGGTACAGTTCTACCTTGTTATCCATGTCAGCGGCAACTCATAAGCAATAAAAACCTAGTTAAAACTTACTATTCCTTCCACTGGTCGAAATAAATATGAAATACCTTCGCTATTATCAAACATTGGTGCCCTTTATTAAGTGCAATTATCTCACTTATATACAGGATACCGGACGTAATATTTGGCCGGTATCGCGCAAGGCTCTACATGAGTCATAAAGGCACTATAGGACTGCCCTATATGACTACGCAAGGACTAACGACTACAACGGCAAATAAACACGAAACAGAACTAAAATACAAAGGACATATACAAACGTCTTATTATATAACATTGTAGCACAATTGGCATACTATTTGTCGTTATTGAACATCTTATTACCACTGAACACGGCTGCTGGGGGAGCAGGGACCCCCACGTTAGAGCTTTCGTGTGATTGGTTTGTAGGAGGCTGGGAAGTGGTCGAAAGTGGATGGTGGCTACTAGCAGGAGAGAGCTCAATGACTCTGCTCTGCAAAGCCAAAGTGTAGTCTCTCAATTGCAAGTTTTCTGCTCTGAGCTCCTCGATGGTTTGCTTAAGAGTATTCACCTCGGCTGCCTGCTGCTCGAGATCTTTAATGTACTTCTCTTTACGCTGCCTGAACGCTTTCTGAGCTGATCTATTCTGAGCTGCTCTCTTGGTGCCTGACACCGGTCTCGATGGCCTGGGACTACCTGCCGACGCCATCTTCATCTTGCCATCACCTTCGTTAGAATCCGAGTCTTGCAAATTACTAGCAGCTGCGGCAGCAGCTGCTAGTTGATGTTGATGCTGTGCGTGCTGGTGTTGCTGGTGTTGTTGCACCTGCTGCAATTCCGCTGCTGCCTGTGCTGCCCTCATATGGTCCTCATGTGTTTGGTGTTGGTGCTGTTGCTGGTGTGAGTGCTGTTGCTGATGTGGATGTTGGTGATGGATAACCTGGTGTTGGTGTGGATGCACCTGCTGGTGTCCTTGTTGCTGGTGTGGAACTTGCTGTGCATTAGCTACCGCTGCCGCCGTCACATCCTCAACTGTAGGAAAATCCGTGTCCTGATGTCTAGCAAATGTAGGGTCAATTTGTTCCTCTGTAGGATCCGTGGCGTTTCCTTCTTTCTCGTTGGTCCACGCACTGAAGTTTGTGTTCATCCTGCTATTATCCTTAGCTGCAAAATTGTTTATCTTATGTAAGGTGCTTTTGGTAATGTATTACAAAGCAATAATGGGTTGTTTTGAAATTATGTTGATCCTCGACAAAGGAAAAAATAACCCAATACACGACCCGAGATCAAAAAAGATCTGGTTCATGAACGACTAGCTCATTACTATCTGGATGCATGGGGTTTAGGTGATAGAAATACAGGTATTTATTGAATTTTAAGCAGATCGGGAGATCAGAGGTACGGTTCGATGTCTTTAGATAGCGTGTTTATGTCTCCGAGTAGTGGGCGGAAAACTAGTAATTTTTTTCCTTCAGGAGATGCGAACGGGCGACACCAGGGATCCACTATGACGGTTGAAAGTAGAGGAGATGGTAGGATTAGTAGAGGCTTGGAAGGAGAGTTGAAGGGGAAACATGATTGTAAATTTAGTGGGTTTGGAATAGAGAACACGGACACAGAGTTGCAAGGGCCCGCCGGAGGGCTAGGAATTGGATTTTTGGGCGATTTAGGACGTGAATTGGGAAATAGTTTTGGAGATGGTTTGGGTAGTATAGACGGTGATTTGGGAACAGGAACAGGAGTTGGAGGCCAGACGAGCTATATTAATATTGGTGGTTTGAGTCTTGGACTGGCGATGGGTGTAAACGGGTCATATTCGATTTGGAGTGACAAACCGAAGGATGGTCCAGCGTTTTCGCCATTTGTGGACCATGGATGGTCGCCGCGGGTAGAAATGGCAGGATTAGGACAAAAAATGAAAGGAGAAGACTCGTTAGAGCTCCAAAATAAGCATTTGGAGGTCGAAAATATAAGTCCTCGCGAGAACATTTACCTGACAAGAGTGAATAACCCACCATTTATATCACAGACATCGCGACCTAGTAAGAAGGTCAAAACCGTCTCCAATAACCAGGCTGTAGTAAGATTGCCTGCGGGAACCAGAGAAACAAGGCGGTGTCCAAAATTCCGTGATTATTTCTTGCAGCAGAATAACGACGTCAACAGCGAGGATTATTGTTCAACATTCTACAAGAGAAATAGCCTTGGATACATGTTCATCAAGGAGCCATCTAACTCCCTTAAGGTGAACAGCTCGGGCCCGCGGTCATGGGTGCAATTAAAAATCAAATTTCCCGATACTGCCAGTGCCAAAAAACTAAAGGTGGACATCAAAAAGTTACCGTTTTGGAAGCCAATAAATGTCAATCTTAAGGACCCGTCTAGGTCAAAGAAGTCCCTGAAGGACAAAAGGAGATTCAATGTTCTGAAGCGTTTCCAAAAGCACAAGGGGGATAATTCCTTTTAGCCATAGACTTATAGCAAAACAAGACATTAAATAAGAGATTCATATATTATAAACTAAGGACAATACCAAATTAGATATTCCAGGGCCCAGTGAAACATGTAGATATTGCTACACAACATGATGGGCCCAGTTTAGCTCATAAACCTTTTTCATACTATACACCACAAAACTTACCTAATAAACTCACCGTCTACTTTGCTATCAGCATCAAAGTGTCTAAACTGGACCCTTAGCGGTATGTAAAACTCTGTTAAGTAGTCAAGATGTAATTATTGCAAAAAATTAGTTCGTTGCTATATACACACCCAAAAATATAGTAGAGGTCGTGCTTACATAAGTAATTGGTGAAATATAATTGGTTCGACGCAGCAAACAGTAGTAATAAGTAGATACATTATTCGTTTACCTATAATGACGACACCTTTAACATTCTAACTGGTCTTATATCCCTCACTTTAATGCGTAGTATCCTCTATAACTCTGGAAGAGACTTTTACTAGTCGGAAATAAGGAAATACCACCAAAAGGGCCCGAAAGTAGAATTGAGCATATGCACGACTCGTATGATCCAATTAACATCTCGGTGGATATAATAAATGCTAACGAGATGTCAATTAGTATAACAGTTTAGATTCATTAAATTTGACATTGACGATGTTTGCCTCTACCATCCGTTCCGCTTTAAGAGCCAGAGTTGCCACTCCAAGAATTTCTAATGTCGTTAGAACCAACGTTGGCATGACCAGAATTTCAATTCCACAAATGAGAAATTATTCATCCCACCATGAAGAAACTTTCGAAGAATTCACTGCTAGGTATGTATTTAATCGAAACACAAGAGAAAGAAATGTCTAAATGAAAGGTTTTTACTGTCAATTCGAAGATACGTTGAGTAACTTGGAAGTTGTGTTCAAGTATCGAATGAGTGAAAAATTAATCATAGAGGCTTCATCAACGTTTATAACCACAGGGACCAATTACTAACATCATTTTAGATACGAAAAGGAATTCGAAGAAGCTTACGACTTATTTGAAGTTCAAAGAATTTTAAACAACTGTTTTTCATACGATTTAGTTCCAGCTCCAGCTGTCATTGAAAAGGCTTTACAAGCTTGTAGAAGGGTTAACGACTACCCAACCGCCGTCAGAACTTTTGAAGCTTTAAAGCACAAGGTTGAAAACAACGAACAATACGAAGCTTACTTAGAAGAATTAAAGGACATTAGACAAGAATTAGGTATTGACTTGAAGGAAGATTTGTATGCTGGTGACAATTAGATATGCGTCCACACAATACAATTTAACAGAGATACATGCCGTCTAGAGTGTCATGCTATAGGAACCACTTTCGCCTTTGTGTTTGCACTCGCCGGAAGTGTCATGATTTAACTTTTATTTTCCCTGTTTGTTTATAAGTCTATGCATCTCTCCTTAGACTCATTCATACTTTTTTCCTTTGCTTCCTCCATATGAGGCTGCATTCAGAATAATATATTTACATCAATATTGCTATTATGTAACTCGTAGATGTAGTAGAAGTAGAAGTAGAAGTCTGTTTCTCTAGGAAGCTATTGGTTTGGATCACGTGTAAAAGGCAATACACTCGTTCGATTATGAATTGGAGTCTACCAGTAGTTCTTGTCTAGCTCCAAGACAGGATACATAAGTGAAAATGGGTGTTTATATACCACCAGGAAGCGGAGGAAATGATAGTGGGAAGAGTAGCGGAAGTGGTGATAATACAATTACAATTCCAAATCCAGCATCATTCATACCGCAAAATCCAAGCTTAGGCTTAAGATTATGGGGACCACTTGTTCCTGCTTCAGATAATTTACCAGCATTGTATTTTCTAACCAGTTTACAAATAGGGATTGGCTTATTGAGTTTTAACAAGGTGAGATATTTAAGAAGGGCTAATTTAGCAAGATTTCATATGGAAAATACATGGCAAAGAAGAACCACGAAATGGTTGTGTGCGGTTGGTGGATCATATTTGATTTACCAGTCGGGAATTGAAATGTCCAGATTGGCTATGCCATATGATCCATGGTACGATGAAGCGAAGTTCTATAGGAAATTGGCCATCAAAAATGGCGATAATCCTAGTTGGTGGTTTGGGGCAACTGGGTACTACAAACCTATGAATTATAAAGAGTGGTTTGCAAAAATCGAAAACTGGTTTAAAAATCAGATACATATAATTGACGCTGAACTGGAAAATAGTGACGCAGCAGCGTCTTCAGCTAGCAAAGGAAGCAAGAATTCCCAATCACCTCTTTTATCCAGCTTATCTAGAAAGGGAAAATATTCAGAAATTTACCAAAGTTTGCATGACAGCAATATCAAGAGGTGTAAAAAATTATTAGAAGAACTAAAGGACGTGAATGAATTGAATAAGGCTGAAAGACTTGACCTAATTATGGAAGGTAAATCATCGATTAAATACAACGAAGAATATTTGAAACCTCACATCCAATTAGGAAACCATAGAATAGATACGGATGAAGAATTTGAAATGGTATGGTTGAATTTTGAACCATGGGATGAGCTAAAAATGGAAACCGACTATGATATTAGATTGGTACCAAGATGGAGGTGGAGTGAAGATGACGACGTCGAGGCTTCAAGCAGTGAATCTGGTTCTACAGAATCTACAACCAACTCAGTTAATGAAGTTGATGAATCGCATATATAAGAGTTATTAATTTATAATGATTATAACATATTTACAAGTTAATGTACAATTCTACTTTTCTTCAATTAATTCTTCAGCCCATTTTAAGTTTTTTGTAGAATTATCTGTATTTAACATAGGCTTGTCAAATTTGGCTAAATGTTGTTTCCAAATTAAATCGGCAGGATCTTGATCAGGTTCGACCCATTCGAACCCGTCACCACCACTCATCCAATAGGCTTGCATCTTTATATCATCCAAGTTATCTTTGGCTTCCATTAACCTAATCTTTTTGCCATCTCTAGTATAGCCTGGTTGTAATGTATGTCTCTCGTAAAGCTCATCTTCAGTACGACATAATTCTTCAATTAATTCAGGACTAGACTCACCACCAGATGGTCCTCCTCCATTCATTGCAAGGTCAGCTTCAACTATCTTGGTACACATCGATAATTCATCAGCATGTCTGAACCAATGCGTATAGAAAGTTCCCTTTTGCCAAGTCAAATAATTTCCTCCTCCTGCAATCAATTGCCTTCCAAATCTGACAATCGTAACGAAAAACGAGGAATTTAAGAAGTATGTTAATATCATGGCATTGATCGAACTTAAGTGTCTCCAACTATCAGATAAATATCCCCATTCAATTATTTCTTGAACCCCAATTTTGGAAAAAAGCGTGATACCGATAGCTGAACTGGCAAATTTAATAACACCAGACCTGAGCTGCTTATTTTTCTGATCTATATAGTTTTTATGGCCAGTAGTCAAATCAGTTATTTTCAATGCATTCTGTAAGTCACCGTTAAATAAGCAATAACGGAATGGTATCAACGCGATCGATTTATCGATATATGCCGTAGGGTTTCTCTTATAAAAAGTTTCGATAACTTGAACGTATGTTACGATAGGAAGCTTCAACAAGAAAATTTTAGTCAATAACTCTTTATTGAATTCCACTTTTTCATTACTCAATATTTCCTGAATTTTATCGTTAATTTTTATATTGGTTGGATCTTCCCAGAATTTATCATAGTCATAAATAGATTGTTGGACATGCTGACATGCCTTAATAGCATCGATTACCGTTTCCTGCAATATTATTCCATCATTCTTTAACAAATGCTTATCGATCTTGGATTCTAATGCAGAAAACTCATTAGTGTATAAAAAGGGGTTAGCATTCAATACCCTGAAACTCTGATGCAAGTTCCTATTATTCGCCACCTTCTGAAACTTTAATATCCCTCTACTATTCAACACTTTCCTGAACATAATCCCTAATGACGTTGAATCCTACTAATTATCTACTGAATCAGTTCTATAGAGCTTAAAAAATGGTGAAAAATCATCAAATTACACAAAACAAATATCTTTAATGTAACTATATAATTTACTTAAATGAACCGAAAACAAAGTAAAATATTTTAACTAGGGTATTCAAACTAAGATAGTTAAGCCACTTCCAAAGAGCATAGCTAAACTTAAGCCCATTAAAAGATTAGATTTATTTAACTCCACGGAACCTGCGCCAGAACCAGAACTGGAGCTGGAGCTGGAGCTGGAACCACTGCTAGAACCTGAGGTAGATTCACTTTGTGATGTACTAGACGCAGTTGAACGGAGAACTCTATGGGAAACAAAACTAGCACTTGTTGTAGCTTCTGTTGCTTGACCTCCAGCAGCGGCAGCGGCAGTTTCCTCAGCAGAAGCAGTGTCATCAGCAGTGGCAGCAGTGGCAGCAGTGGCAGCAACACCCGCTGGAGTGGTTGCAGTAGCATCAGTTTCTGTCTCAGCACCAGCAGCACCAGCCGGAGTAGTAGTTTTGGTACCAGTCTTAGCGGTATCAGTGGTGGCAGTCTTGGCTGTATCAGTAGTGCCAGTTTTAGCGGTGTCAGTTGTGCCAGTAGCGGTATCTGTAGTACCGGTTTTAGCGGTGCCAGTAGTGCCAGTAGTGCCAGTGGCTGTATCAGTAGTACCAGTCTTTGTGGTTGCAGTATCAGTATCAGTATCGGCTCCAGCAGCAGCAGCAGGTGTTGTAGCCGTGGTAGCAGTAGTTCCAGTTTGAGCAGCAGCAGGTATTGGATTCACAGCAGTAGTGGTAGTAGGAGCAGCATTTCCTCCAGCTTGACCACCAATGTTACCACCCATTGCTCCCATCGTCAATGCTGTATTGAATGCAAAAATCGATAATAATGTGTAAGCGTATTTCATAGCCTCTTAGCAATTATTTGGAATAAAAAGACAACGATCTTTAAAGAAATCTAAAGATTTTAATAATTCAACGAATGTTCAAGTTTCGAAATATGAGTTATATTGCTCTAACGTGATTAGATACAATAGATGATGATACTACTTATTAAATAGATATAAAGAATCAGTATCGCTATATATATATTTCTATTTATTTGACATTGGAAAACAACGCGAATTGTGCTCAAAATCTCGTTTTCGCTCGAAACAATAAAATATGGATATGAGCTATGATAACGTATACAAGCAACTAGACTCAGCCAAATTAGTGATATATGGAAGGGATTGTTTTTATTAATTTACATGTCTATATAATTATTTGCATACTATTGTCAAGCATATATATTTACGGCTTCAACCTTCCTTATGAAACTCAAATGCTTTAGAAACTCGTATACATGATTTAGAGGTAGACTCACCTATCTATCATGTTTGTAGTAGATATGAAAATCGGCAGAGATATACTCGGTGCTCGGTTTATTGTGGTCTCTCTCCGCTTGAGTAATCAAATGCACTGTGCATAACTGGAAGATTTGTATGTCTTACAGATCTTGGTGATTTAACGGAAGTAGGAACTGAACTTAAGGCAAAAACTACTTTCTCTTCTTCTTTCTCTTCTCCATTTTTGGAGCACAGTCAGGACAATACCAAATCTCGTCGTCCTTTGGGGGTGCAGTGATGCCCACACAGCTCCAGTGGAACCATTCGAATTTACAGTCGTCATTATCACACCCAATCATTTCACCAAACGATACTCGTTGACAGAAACAGTATAGGTTGTTATCAGCGTCTTCACCATTGTTACCTGGTCCTTCATTAGATCTAGATAACGAATCAGAATCATATTTCTTGTCCTCGAAATCTTCCGATTTCATTCTCTTAGATGGTTTCGTTAATCCACTTGTTCCCTTTATATTAAGAGCATGCTTCCTCTTTTGTGCTTTTCTGAGCATGCTATTGGCTGCACTGTCTGCCACAGGTGTAGATGCCGAATGCCCTCTAGGTGTAGTTGTGCCCGAAAGATTATCACTTAACCCATTGATGACGCTATTCATATCAGACGATGGTGTATCGAGTTCCATAACATTATCAACGGGAGGTAATAGCTCATCTCTTTCTAATTTGGCTATATCAGTCTCAAAGTTAGATAAATGTTTGGATACCAAAAACAACGCCGTATTGGCTAACAATATTTTTTCCTTTTGCAATTTTTTAACCAACACCATATCCTCTTCTATTTTATTATATATCTGTTGCTCCTTTGGATGCTTGGTTAAAGTTCCATTGGCTCGTATAAATTTATGTATTTGGTTATCTTTTGTTTGATACCTCTTCCTTGCCTCTTGCAACTGCACATCTTTATTTTTCAACTCTTGTAATAGATGTTTCACTTCCAAAGGCAAGTTGGATAGATCTTGTGTGTACTTATCTAACACAGTTGTCGTATCCATCTTATTGCTTAAGCTATTTATGCCCTACCCTGTTGTTTTGGTTGGATTCTAATCTGATGACATATTTGTTCATGGATTTATTCGGTTGTGTGCGGTCCAATATCAATGTAGAAACTTTCTAGTATGTGAATCGAAATCATTATAAAACAACGAATTATTGAACGTCTACTAATAGTTAATGTCGCATAATGACGGAAGATGAATTAGTTGAACTCCTCGGTGAACTATCAATTGAAGAAAAGGAATTTAATAAGGCAAAAAAGGTATTACAAGGTGCTTCACAAGATCATCAGGATTTAAAAAAGAGCTATGAAATCCTTTCAAAATGTTCCCAAATACCAAAACTATCAGATAATATTTATAGAATTATGGAAGAGGATATGCTGAAGTTTTTACTTGGCTTGCAAATTATGCAAGATTCTAGGGGTATTATTCTTATTAATATCATTAAGTCAAAAGTTGCAAACGAAGATTTAGAGAAGGTAATTCTCAAGATATTGAGCCTGATTCAGACTATACTAAAAAGAATTGACAGATTGGGCCTTAGAGTATTTTATTTGTCCTTATACTTTGCAATAATTTCAAACTTTAATATATCCTATCCTCAGCATGTATCGTTAATGCTTCAATATCTAAATCCATTACACAACCAAGGCAACGAGGAGAAGGAAAAGGCACACGAAGTCTATAGCTTGGTATTACTTGTTATTATAAAAAATTTAGAATTACTTGTCGAAGAAACAACCGAAATAATAACTAGCTACCTAGAAATTTTGGTAGACAACGAGCCCGATGAAATATCAATTACTAGTTTTTTGAATTTAGTGAAATGCTTGGAGTCTCTTTTTCCTATTGTGCCATCGGTATCAAATACTATATATATGAGTGAAGGTTGCAAAGAGATAATACTATTTCAAGTTTCAAAAATGTCTTCCGCATCTCTAGAGTATGCGAGTAATCAGCTTATAACGACTGAGATCTTGAAACTTGTCAGCAGCTCGTGCATAAATGAGCAATGCCGTTCATTTAACTATTCTAACTATCTTGAGTTATTGAAAATTGGAACTAAGTTACAGGGCGAAGATGTTTTAGAAATAAGACTTTTGTCTTCATTAGGTATTATTAAACTCTGGAATTTTATCCAATTAGAAAAAGACCTGAAAAGAGATTCAAGTATAAATATGTCCGAATTATCAGATATATTGATAAACTATTTGAGGTCTGCCGACTCTAAATTGAACGACACAAATTTGGAGTACTGTGTTGAGGGTTTAGCCTATTTAAGTTTGAATACATCTGTCAAACAAAAATTGAGAAATGATGAAAACTCAATTGAAAGTATATTAGTTATATTGAAAAAGAAAACAGAAGTAAATGAAAAAAGCTTACTGACTAATTCTTCATTAGTTTACGGACTTTTGTTAATCCTATCGAACTTAACAAAATTGAAAGTTGTGGCTGCTAATTCTCAAAAGAAAACAACTAATTACTTAAACTTTGCAACCCCTAATAATATAAATGACGATAAAGATGAAAATCAGGAAAGTATCCAAAATTTTAACAGCTCCTTACTAATAAATTACAAGGTTGTGGAAATAATGTCTAAAATAAAAGTTTATAAATCCCCTGATTCTGCAGGGCATAATAATAATATAATATCCCAAGTTATAACAATGATTTCTATGATATCTACTAATCAAGACAAATCTACAAGACAAGAACTTATCAAGCAAGGTGCATTAAATATTGTTTTAGATTACCTCATTAAAAATAGTATCGTTAAGAAAAACTTGGGGAACGAGACGAGACCAAGTAGTTCAAATGATGAGTTAGTTGAGACCAGACTTCTAGCTTTGAGGTCGTTAGCAAGGATTTTGATTTCAGTTAATCCTTCTCTAGCATTTAATAAATATGATATAAAGACCTGTTTACCATTTTTGATTGAGTTACTAGGTCCTGATATTTCCCAGTACAATGGCTCCCTTGGGGATGCTGGGGATGATCAGTATTTGTATGATGGAGTTAGCAATTTGGATAAATATGAGTCATTACTTGCATTGACAAACATTTCAGCCGCTCAAAACAGCACTGGAACCAATGAATTGAGACCGCTAATAATATCTAAAACATTCGATAAGTATTTGGACAATTTTATTATTGATTCAGATTTACCGCAAATTCAAAAAGCTACTTGGGAATTGATTTCTAATTTAATAACGGAACCAAGTTTGTTAGTCAAATTCTTTAATATAGAAAAGCAGGACAACTTAAAAAGGTTGCAATTGCTAATTAGGCTCTTGGACTCAACCGATGAACTGCTTCAGACAGTGATTGGAGGCTTAATAGCAAATGCCACCTCTGAGTTTGAGATGATTTCCCAAATATTGGTCCAGAATGTTACCTTAAAAGATCATTTGTTGTCCATCCTTACAAATATTTTTGAAAGTCAAAATTTGAATGATGATTTACTATTAAGAGCCAGTTACATATTATTAAACTTGGTTTATTCTGCATCAAAATTAGGCGCAGAATATATAGACAAGTTCAGGGAAGACAAAAAGTTGAAGGATTCGTTAGGTTTGGCTTTACGTGCGAACAAGAATAAGGAAATATTGGAAATTATAATTGAAATAATTAAATTAGTTAATTTTAAATAGTTGAATTTAACGCTATATATTAATGGTCTTTTAATCTACTTATTATACACGTAACCATTGTTTACAAATTTAAAAGTGAATCAATCTTTGTGCCAAGGTGTCTTGATGATGCTCAACTGTACTAACAGACTGCCTAACACGATTAGAGGATTTATCATTTTCTAATTTAACTCTAATGGCCTTGTGCAAATTAGATAAATATTCTGGATAAGCAGCTCCTGAGTTTGCAGCAAGAACCCCTTTTAAGTTATCTTCAATCAAACAATCTTTGAATAATACTTCCGCGCCATCTATTTGCAGCCTAACAATTTGAATGCCGGCACTTCCAATTGCGGACGATCCAGTTATTTCAGTTTGGAAAAACTTGACCAAATTACGAGCTTGCTGTGATATGTGGGTTGGTAAGTCTGGGATTTCGTCAATTAATGGATTAATTTGATCTATGGAATCAATATCATCACCAAATAAATCCTTAATGAGAAGAATATTTGCATTTGGATGAATCCAAACAAAAATATCTAAACCATTACATAAAATGTAGACTCCACCATCTAATTGATTATAGGATAAATCTTTATACTGAGGCAATTTTATAAAATAATCTGGGTTCTCGGTACCCTCATCCGGTACCATACAATCATCTTGCTCTAATGTATGGAGTTCAACTAAAGCAGGACATAAATGATACACTAATCTCTCGACTGGCATATTTAGGAATTGAAATATGTCTGCTAATCTAGTATCAGCCGTCAAAGCTGTTGAATCCCTTAAAGCCTTTGATTTGATAAATGCGAGCATATACATTGGCAAATGTTTTAAAGAATCTGGAAATAACAATTGATTCGTTAATGTACGATGTCTATTATGTCCCAATTCACTCATTGCCCTATACTGAGTGAAAACTTCCACTAATTTTTCATTTACTGATTCACGTAGTTCATGCAAAGTTTGCTTCCCTACAAACGACAAAGTATCCCTAACTATTGTTGTGACAACTGAATCTTGCTCAACGAAGTTAAAGACATCATCTAATGTTTCACTAACTGCCAAAACCAAGTTAATAACTCTAACCTTTCTAATACCAGAGGGATCAGTATATAACAAACCTGCTTGAAAATGACAATCATATTTTGTATTTAATTTACCATCGTACTGTAGTAATACGGTAAATGTCTGGTCTTCATTGAGAACTGGTATGATAGGATCTTGTGTACCAGCTCCGACAACTGAAGCTTCTGCAACAGCTGATGATGTTCCATAATACTGAGTAACTTGTAAGCCGTTAGAACAACGCAACTTTAATTGCCCTTGATACCCTCTAGACTTTCTAATCGAGTTGATAAATCTTGCAGTGAAGGATCTACTATCTCTTTCAAAATTAAAGTTTGACCATTTATAAACAGAGCCACCACTTACAGAGCATAACCAGCCAATGTTTGATAAATCCACAGCAGTAGGAGAGACTACAAGACATTCTAATCCGACATTTCTTGAAATCATATCTTTGGCTAGCAATTGATAATATTCATTGTCAGGATTATATATGGCTTTTTCTTGTTCTGGAGTAGGGGAGCGACCGACATTCTTTCTGTCTTTATAGGTCAAACTACCAGGACCCCATGATGGTAAGCTGGAAAGGACTGAAGTTATTTTACCCCCTCCAACAGATTCAAGACACAACATAGCTGTGCGAACTGCAGCTGCAAAACATGGTTCAGGATCTGCAATAACATTTTCGTTACTGCTTAACTGTTCCAAATTATTTAAGGCGTCTTCTATGCATATTCTACTTTCTTCCGGATCAGCAAACAATCCTTCATTAAAAGGGACAAACGGATCTTCGAGATCGGAAGAAATAGATAACTGTGTGGAATCTAGAGACGGAGACAAATTATAAAATTGTAATCGCTTATCAAAGGTTATAATGGCAAATTTACCTGGAAATTTCTTTTGGGGTTCATTTGGATCCATCGTCTCTGATTGCTCATCATAGTCCAGGCTATACAAGGTTGCTCTGATGGTGTCTGCAACTAAAACGGGCAAATGCTGCCTAACACTTTGTTCACTAATATCAATCAAGAAAACATGATGCAATTCGTGGTTAACTGTATCAGACCCTCCTACGTTATATTGTTTTGGAACAATAATATCATAAATACCTTTATGTAACTCAGGTCTGATACTTGCATCAGTTCTAGCACCAGTAACTGGATTGACCATAGAAATGTAATCATCTGGAATAGTATTGTTTGGAAATTGACAGATATTACAAACGAATCTGTTATGAGTAGTATGTTGCATTGCTGGATTCATGTAAGTTCTACAACGACGACATCTTGGTGGACCAACATCCAAGGGATCGGCTTCAGCAGAAAATCCTAAACTTTGCATGTCAACAACGGGTATTGGTTCTTCGGTCGCTAACAAAGGTGCAAATGGTCTTATAGTAACCGAGAGAGGCAACTTTGTAGCATTTCTTAACTGCTCTGTCTCTGGAACATTATACATCGAGGATCTCATAAATTTTGAAGATGAAGTTCCTTGATCAACAGTATGGTATTGCGTACCTGCAGTTGGCGGTACAATATTTTGAAACGTGAAAAAAGATTTATAGGTGCCATCTTCCTCACTAACAGGAGTCATATATTCTTGTTGATGGTGAAATCTTGCACTTGATAAAGAAAGGTTTTGTTGTTCATTTTGGGCATGCGCTGGATCAGGCGCCGTGAACGCTTGCATCAGACCCGTATGCATTTGCCCGGAGTAAGGCAGAGAAACTGGTTCAGCATGGAGTTGAGGTTGTGAGATCGATTGGTGTTGCGGTTGGAAAGGTGTTGACGGCTGAGTGACGTCTGGTGAATTAAATTCTGTGTGGTATGCCCTGGCGCTTCTTTTTTTCTTCGATTTGGATGGATTGTTGTTAAGCGACAAATTTTGTAAGCCGGACGCAAGTTCCAGATGTTGTTGCTGTCTATTTTCCGCATTACCTTCACGAGGAATTCCCTCTGTTGGTGGAGGTACGTATGCCATTGTTTATTGCTTGGGTCTCGTCAACATTGGTCATAAAACATCAAATCATTAGGTTATATTTCCAACTTTTGTATCGTGAAATGTCGTGAAATGTCTCCTTCACAATGTCGCAATATCACAAACATTATCATTTATTCGAGCGTCAGTTTATATATACTTTTAATCTAAGGTACAACTAAGTTATTAAGAGACAGCCATGATAAATAATGTCGATAGATATAAGCCAATTTAAGGAGTCGATATCTGAAAATTGCTCTATATATGCATTAACCTCGGGAGCTATAGTTTTTCAAGATTTTTATAATCTATCGTGGTCCCAAAATTACACTGATTCTTTTCTTCCAGCATATTACTTAACTAACTGCAGTATTGCAGACTTGAAGGAAATATCATTACTTAAGAATTTGCATTCATCTAATCTCACTAAGTTGGAATATGGTAATCATTATCATACATATGACAAGACAGACAACGGTGATTCATTTGTCGCATTGTTATTCACTATTAGTGGGACATGTGTTGCATGCTGGATGCTAACATTATTGATGTACTTATCTCCAAAACATAAGAGAAAGTCATGGCTCACGCAGCTTGCTACCGTGTTTTATTCTATTTTGGCCACGGTAATTTTGAGTAATATTACTGATGCGAGTAAATCGCAATACTACGAGGATTCGTTGAATTTAATAAAACTTCATAGTCTGGTATATGTGAGTTGTTCATATAGAGTTATGCTGGTGTTTTCCCAATTATTCACTTCTTTGGCGTGGCTACAAATTGTTGCGCATGTATCCAAGTTGAAATTTAAATGGTATAGTATATTCGTGAATCTAATATTAATCGTGGTTTACACGGTGGTGCATTCAATATATCAGGCAAAGTACAATACTCACGAATTGATTTTCAATAGCGGATTGGACTCCCCTTATCAGAGATGGAGTTTTGTACTTTCTATATTGAAGCTTCTGATAATAATATGGTTGGGGGCCTCGATCCTTTACTACACTACGGTGATCAAGAATCCTAGAAAGATATGCTACTCAAAAAAGCTTTTCCCATTAGCGGTTTCCTCTCTATCACTATTTGTGATACATATCGTGATCAATGTTCTTTTAATAAGCTTATTTTTGAATGATTGGCAAGTGAAGTCGTGGTTATCTTTAATATCTTCCTTGATAGAAATTGGTATGCTAACTGCAATATGGGAATGGATATACGGTATTGAATTTTTGGAGAAGAGATATGAGATAATGGGCATGCTTGGAAGAAGAATAAGTTTGAACGATGTGATAAGTTTCAACCTGTACGGCAACCATGAACTGCCCGAAAAACCTGACAAAATTAGACAGCTAATAGATTTTTTAACGAGAAAAATATTCCGGAACAAAGATTTCGACCATATGGCATATGAAGAAGAAGCGCACAATAAAGACACCATGGAATCGCCCCCAGGACCCGAATCTGGTCTTTTACTGTCCCAGAATTTGGATGGTGTGGACGCTGAAATGCCGCATGGTCAAGGCACAAACACTGACAATATAAACTATATGCATAATGATGAGCAAAATAACATTATTTCTGAACAAGACAGAGATATCATCGATATTCACTCAAACCCAAGCTCTGGTAGCTATGAAGATGAATATATTGATGATTACCAATTCTCAGATGACGAGCATAATGCTACAGCTTCGAATACGGATCAACGACTCTATCATTCTGAAAATGGTCCACCCTCCTTCGTACCACTCCCTGGCTTCAGTCATGATGATTATTGGCCTGATGAAAAGTAAATTAATGATAAAGTCTACTTCAATATATCTTCCTGTATATAAACGGTTCCAGAGTATTCTCGAATATTCGAGGACATGACCGATAAAGATATAAGTAGGTTTATAAAAGATACAATTTCTTAGTAAGTAGCAATTCAAAGATTGTACCTGTAAATAGAATAGCTACCATGTTACGTACTAAAAGTCTTCAGAATGTTACGAGTAGAACTATTTCTCGAGCATCTCGGAATATTAATGCATTGAGTTCGGTTAATACTAGGAAAATTCATGTACCAGCTGTACAACTGAAACTGAGTTTTAGTATTGAGAATGGACTTCAGAGAATCAAATATAGCCCTTGTGGGTTGAACCATGTTAAGTATTTTCATTCAAGTGGTGTTAGAAAACTTCAGATGTCTATGGATAAAGAAGGACAAGATAATAGACCGGCATTAGAGAAATACGGTACTGATTTGACTCAATTAGCTAAAGATGGTAAACTAGATCCAGTGATTGGTCGTGACGAAGAAATACGTCGTACGATACAAATTTTATCAAGAAGAACAAAGAACAATCCTGTATTAATCGGTAATGCTGGAACAGGTAAAACTGCGGTAATGGAAGGTTTGGCACAGAGAATATTGAAGAATGAAGTTCCTGACAGTATGAAAGACAAGCAGATAATCACATTAGACTTGTCGGGTATAATAGCAGGTGCTAAATATAGGGGTGATTTCGAAGGTAAGTTAAAGCAGATATTAAAAGAAGTTGAAGAAAAAAACGGAAAAGTCATTTTATTCATTGATGAATTACATATTTTAATGGGATTGGGTAAGGCCGAAGGTTCAATTGATGCTTCAAATTTATTGAAACCAGCATTAGCAAGGGGAAAGCTTTCCCTTTGTGGTGCCACAACTATTGAGGAATACCGCAAGTATGTTGAGAAGGATGCTGCTCTTGCAAGAAGATTTTCGGCTGTTACCGTTAACGAACCAACAGTACAAGACACGATTTCTATTTTACGTGGTTTGAAAGAACGTTATGAAGTACATCATGGTGTTCGTATTACTGATGGGGCCTTAGTGACTTCAGCACTCTATTCTAGTCGTTATATAACTGATCGTTTCTTGCCAGATAAGGCTATTGATTTAGTTGATGAAGCATGTTCTACTTTGAGATTGCAACATGAATCCAAACCGGATGCAATTGCTCAATTGGACCGTCAAATTATGACTATTCAGATAGAATTGGAGTCTTTGAGAAAAGAAAATGATCAGTTATCGCTAGACCGCAAAACTAAATTGGAAGAAGAATTGAGTGTCAAAAGGGCTGAATTAACTGAGTTTACTGAGAAATGGGAATCGGAAAAAAAGCTGATAGATGATGTTAAGAACGCAAAATCTGATTTAGAACAAGCCAAATTTGATTTAGAACAGTGCCAAAGAGAAGGCAATTATGGTAAGGCTTCTGAATTACAGTACGCGACAATTCCTAAACTAGAGGAACAGTTGAAAGAATTGACCGAGAATGAAAAATCTGTTGGAGAATCTACGTTGTTACATGATTCAGTTACCTCTGATGACATCGCAAATGTGATTTCAAAAATGACAGGTATTCCATTAAGTAATTTAATGAAAGGTGAGAAGGATAAATTATTGGATATGGAAGCTACATTAAAAAGTAAAGTCATTGGTCAAGATGAAGCAATAAATGCGGTTGCTGATGCTGTAAGATTGCAGAGGGCGGGTTTAACAAGTGACAAGAGACCTATTGCTTCATTTATATTCTTGGGACCTACTGGTACAGGTAAAACAGAACTAACGAAATCATTAGCGGAGTTTTTATTTAATGATAAATCTTCAGTTATTAGGTTTGATATGTCAGAATTTCAAGAGAAGCACACAGTTTCTAGATTAATCGGGTCACCCCCTGGGTATGTTGGCTATGAAGAAAGTGGTGAATTAACTGAAGCGGTTAGGAGGAAGCCATATTCAGTTGTATTGTTTGATGAGTTTGAGAAGGCACACAGTGATGTATCAAAATTATTATTACAAGTCCTTGATGAGGGTTCCTTAACTGATTCACATGGTAAACATATTGATTTCCGTAATACCATAATAGTAATGACTTCAAATATTGGTCAGGAGATATTGCTAGCGGATAAGGATACAAGTGATGATGGTCATATCAGTGAAAATACAAAGACACAAGTTAGTGAAATGCTAAAGCAGTATTATCCTCCTGAATTTTTGAATCGTCTTGATGATGTTTTAATTTTTAACAGATTATCTAGGCAATCTTTGAAAAATATCTTGACCATCCGTTTGAAAGAAATTGACGAAAGATTAGCCAATAGAAGAATCAACTTGTCTTTATCTGGCGAATCTAAGGAGAAACTCTGCGAATTAGGTTATGATCCAGTATATGGTGCCAGACCTTTGAATAGAGTTTTACAGAAAAAGGTCTTGAACCCTCTTTCCAAATTGATGATAAAAGGTCAAATCAGGGAAGGTGAGACGATATTTGTTGAGTTAAAAGATGGTGAGATCTATGTTAAGCCAAACCACGAGGAAAATTCCTGAATTAATTGAATTTTGTAAATAGATATATATGGCAGTACTTAATGAACGACAATGATGAGATGAAACTATGTAATTTACATTGTTTGAAAATCTAAAAAGTGTAATGATATAATTCTAACAAAATGTAACTAAAAAAACGTTCAAATATAAAAAGCTGAAAATAAAGCTGAAACTAAAAAATGGCCTCATAATACTCTACCAACAACAGATCCGTCTGCTATGCGCTTTTCATTTTCATCTACCCTTTTTAAGCTTGTTCCAGTTTTTATTTGTCCTAGTAAAGCCCCAATATCAGCATTACCCCCTAATGGAGCTGCTTGCTTGGGACCTGAAGAAGTAGACGAACTGCCTGGCAATGGTGGTGCACCTGGAGGAGGAGGTGGTGGTGCGTACAGAGAAGGTAAAGGAGGTGCTGCACCTGGAGGAGGAGGTGGTGGTGGTGGAGCTGAAGAGCTTGGCATAGGTGGCGCCTCCATAGCTGGTGGAGGAGGAGGAGGTGGTGGTGGTGGTGGTGCCAATGCATTAGGTAAAGGGGGTGCTGCTCCAGGAGGTGGCGGCAGTGTTGGAGTAAAGTTATTCTCAGAAATTGGTTCTTCAACATTGTCTGACCTTACATGTGGCTCAGGTGTTGCGTTAACTTGGTCTGGGTTATTCTGAATAATATTGGCAGAATTATCAGCATTCTCTTCATTGATATTAACTTTGGATTCTTGTGAATCGAAGTGAGGAATGTCTTCAGCATCATGAAATTCTTGATTAGGGGTAGCTGTACTTGATTTTGGTACTGGTTGAGACATACCCCCAAATAATAAGCTTGCTAATTGAGCAGCGCCCGCTCTATTGGGCCCTTCATCTTCACTTGAATTTTCTTCTTCATCACTCCAATCATTAGAGTCGCCCAAACCTCTTTGCGAGGCTCTTTGAGCAGCTGCTTTCTTTGGATCTATCGTAACTTCTTTCTCTGGTTTAAAGAAAAGGTTATCCTTAGACTCGTTGCTACTTCCCGGAATATTATTATTTTGAAGTTTTGCAAACGGGTTATTATCATGAGTCTTTGGAACGAAGTTTTCTGATTGTACAGCAGGAGCAGGAGCTTGTTCTTCATTTGTCTTTTGCTCTATAACAGGGTTTGAAGCTATGTCATTAGTAGAACTCTTGGAAATAGATCCATTTGGGCCATACGATTTAACTTCAGTTATTGGTTCTTCATCACTAGAATATCCAGCTTCTTCTTTTTTCTTCAATTCTTCCATTTCTCTCTTTAGTTTCTCTAACCTAGCTTCTTTTTCCTGCTTCTTCTTTAACTTACGTTCACGTTCACGAGCTTCCATTTCTTCTTTCTGTTTCATTAAGGCTTCATATTCCTCATTATCATCATCAGATTCATTTCCCATTGTTTGGTTAGGTACTTGATTCACTTGTTTTGAGGAATCGCTTTGTCCACTAATAATTCCATCTTGCGATTTGGTTTCTTGTCGCGTTTCCTGTTGCTGTTGTTGTGGTTGCGGTTCAACCACTCTTTCTGGAGCTTTAAGAGGTTCAGAACTAGCATTCAGAGGTACCGTTTTGCTTTGTGTTTGTGGTTCAGCTGTATAGCTAGAGTTCGATGTCTTGTGTCTCGTAAGACCTAACTTAGCTAAACGCTCATTCATTCTTTTCTCAGCTTGTGCTTTGATATATGCAGATCTCTCTTCAGGTGTTCTATATTCGTGACTAGCTGTAGAACTATCACTTGCACCCGTTGACTGAGGTGAAACAATACTTGCCTCAGCATTCTTAGATGATTGTTGTCTTTGTCCTACAGAAGAAGTTACTTGGGGAGCTGATTGTTGGTTTGGCTTAGAAGAATTCAATTCTCTTATGAATTTTGCAACCTCCGCATTCAAATTGTTTCCGTTTTCCCATTTATCTGTGTCTACTTCTTCTTTATTAGTAATCTGTAAATTAGTAGCACATCCATCTTCTAATTCTTTAATACTAGCTTCAATGTCGTTTATCATTCCAGATTGATTTTCTCCTTCGGATTGAGTTTTCTTGATTTCCTGCTGCAATTTAACATCTAGCTCATTACCACTCTCGTATGACTTGCCAGTCAATGCAGCCATTCTCTGCTTTAATAATTGTTTGGATTTAAACTTTTGTTTGTCTGCATCGGTAACTTCACCATTGATACCAGTACCGACTATTCCCGCCTCTTCATTCTCCGGTTGCCAATCTGGGTTTTCTTTTGATAACTTCAATTTAAAGAGCTCAACTTTACTCAGAGCTATATCTCTGTTAACTTGGTGAATTTTGGAAATTAAACCTGGAACTTTATCACGGGTTAAGTAATTTAATTTATCCAATAATTGCTTTCTTTCGCTGATTGATCCACCGGAAGAAACCTTGTTATTTAATTGAGATTGAATTGTTCTTATTTGTTGCTTCAATGAATCGATTTCTTGGTAGTTTCTTGATTCCAACTGTCTACTTGTTATAGCAGAATCTTGATCTTCTGCATCTACTGCATCTAACAAGATTTTCTTTTCACGAACTAGCTTTTTCAAGTCGGCTATGGTTAAGTCGCTGTTATTAGAAGACTTTTCATCACCATTTGATGGATCATTATTAGAGGTATTTTTTCTTCTGTGACGAACATTAGAAACATACCCAAAATTAGAATCATCGTTCTTATATCTTTTTCCGTCTGTCTTGCCTGGTTTCACGGGAGGTGAGGACTTCGCAGAACCACTTTTCAAAGAGTTTTTCAAGGTATCCATAGAATCTTGGATATATTTAGTTGAGGGAGGAACCAATTCTGGAGGTAATCTCAATGGTAAATCAAACCCGTTTAATCTTCTATAAACAAGATGCATAGCAACTGCAAATTCATCCTTATTCAATTTTCCTCTATTGTTAGTATCTGCAAGGTTCCAAATAGACTCCAAATCCGGCCTGGCTAATCCAGACTTTCCGAATATATTGATTGCAACTTCTCCGTCAATGAATCCCTTGTTTCTACTATCCCATGCAGAAAAAACACCATCATAAATTTGCTTCTCTTGTTTTGTGATCGACCAGGTCACATTTGTCTTCAACGAACCACCCATAGCATTTTGTAAGTTGTTAGTTGGTAGTTGAGAGGATGGCAAAAAGTGCTGCTCCATAGCATTCAATCCTGGTATTCCTCCAGTCGGCGTAGAAACAAACCCCCACTGACCCGGTTTACCGGTTGGTTGGGATTGTAAAAGACCAGTCTGTTGAGGTTGGAAGCCAGTAGTTTGTGGTTGGAAGCCAGTAGTTTGTGGTTGGAAGCCGGTACTTTGTTGTTGAAAACCAGTAGTCTGTGCCTGTAAAGGTCCGTTATTCATTCTTTGTGTAAATCCTGTTAATTGAGGCTGCAAGACACTAGGACCTGTTTGCTGAGAATTCATTTGAGATTGGAATCCTGTAGTTTGAGATTGCAATGGTCCTGTCTTTTGAGCAGGAATTAAACCAGACGTTTGTTGGGGCTGCAATGGAATTAAAGTACCACCTCCTGTTCTTTGGGGTAATAAAGAATTGGCATTATTACTTCCAAACCCAGTTGCTTGAGGTTGGATTGGAAAATTACCAGTTCTTTGGGCCACCATTTCTTGCGGCGCACCAAATCCAGTTGGCTGAGCTTGGAACGATGTAGAAGGAACTGCACCAGAGTTATTGTATCCGGTGGCTTGTGGCGCCATCCAATCGTCATTGGTCGTATTGCTATTTGCACCAAAGCTAGCAAATGGTGTATTCGACAAGATATTTGATGGATTCTCTGGTACACTAAAACTAATAGCATCAACAAAACTCTTCACTTCGTTCAGCCATTTTTCTGGTAACAACGTAGGTAATGGGTCCCCCTTTAATGACAAGTTACATAAATGCAAAGCTAACGCAAACTCAGGAAACAACAAAGAACCCGACTTATTGGTGTCTGCCAATGACCAAATTTCAGCTAAGGTTATAGGCTGCAAGCCTGACCTCAATAAAATGTCTCGTGCCGAATCACCGCTAATAGCTTGTTCTCCTTTTGGCACTGCGGTTCTAAATAAATGTTCGAATTTATTTTGATCTGACGCAGTAATGAACGATAATCTCATACTAGGGATCTTTAATTCACTATTTTCAGTCACGGTGGGCGCTGAATTCGTTCCTGGCTGTTGAAATCCAGTAGGTTGTGTTTGAATATAGCCAGTCTGTTGTGGTTGAATCAGCGGTTGTTGTGCAAACCCAGTAGGCTGGCTTTGAAATGACGGCGCATTAAACGTTGCCTGCTGTTGAGGTTGATAAAACCCGGTTGCTTGGTTTTGCATTGAAGGAGGTTGATTCGGATTATAATACCCTGTTTGCTGAGGCTGGACATATTGCTGCTGCTGATTAAACCCTCCAGCAAACCCCGTTTGTTGTTGCTGAGGATTATAACCAGTTTGCTGTTGTTGATATGGATTATACATCAGCCAAATAATTGATTAATTTAATATAAATTGCTTACAATGCTTAGGAAATTGATATATGTTAATAGATTATGTGTCTTTGATCCCGAGTGAATATCTCGTTCGACACTAACATGCAATTTTCAAATTTTACAGTTTATATGAGTTGCAGCTCTTTTAGAGAGGAACCTTCTTGTACTATAGAACATACAATAAATACAACTACGTAATCTTAAGTCAAATATCTTGTAAATTAGAAGTCTATGTAAATGTGAGTAAACTTTCAACGGTTATATCAAGCAAAAAATTTCTTTATGGAAGAACCTCATCCCAGAAATCAATTTCTAAAAGCGTCACTTTATTGAAAATGTCAACAAGTTCATCTAACCGTCCTTGTGAAAGAGGATAATGCTCGAGTAAAGACTGCAAAGAACTTTTTCCCCTTTCGTATGCCTCGCGGTACCAGTCAGATGTATAGTCTGCCAACCAGGAATCGTATACTTTGGCGTGGTCTTCGGATTCAAGAACACCCAAAGATTTATCGTGATCTTGTCTTATTTTCAAGCCAAAGTCTCCAGCTTCAGCGTAACCATGTAAACAAGGGGCCAAAGCGACTCGAATCCCTAAGAAATCTTCCTTTTTGCCTATTTCTAAGAGATAATTGCAGTATGCTTCACATGCTTTACCAGGAGACAATTCAGTGTCTGACTCAAAATCTCTATCGTAATGAATGTTATAATTTTTCATCAATTTTTCTCTGTGACGTTCAATTTCTTTTACGATTTCATCCATTATGACTGATTGCGTATGAATCTGATTGTAATCATCCGAAACGGAAGCAGCCAACCCATGAATTTGCGCATAATTTATCAAATAGTAGTAATCCTGCTTCAAATAATAAAGAAACTTGTTAAATTCTAATTTATTTTGGGCAAGTTGACTCACAAATGGGTGGTGTATGTACATTTTCCAGTTATTGCTAACCTTAGGATGTGTCTTAAGATAATCCAAGAAAGAATCGTAACTATCCAATAAGTAATGAGAGATATCCAATTCGTCTTGCTTACATACAAGACTAGGCTTTGTTTCTGGAACAACTGTATGGCACAATGGGCCATTTCCATGACCTAATTTCTTCTTCAAGCTTACCATACTTTTCTGGACATAATGAATTGATAATGGCAACGCCTCTTGAAGTGAATACCCTTTCGCAATGTTGGCAGCTATTGCGGACAGTAGAGTGCAGCCAGTCCCATGCGTATCTTTTGTTTTCAAGAATTCAGATTCATACACCTTAACTGAATCGGTCTTTGACTCGTATAAGATATCGATAATACAAACTTGGTTACTATTATCATCAAAGTTTCCTTCATAAGGTCTATTTTGTAGACGATTCCATGGTATGTGCCCACCCTTCACTAAAATATTCTCACAACCTAGCACCTTCTGCAACTCTTTTACCAAATTAATATAATCATTTAAACCTTGAATTTCAATGTCTGCTTTCTTCCCAGTTGCAATTTCAAACAAGCTCTTTGCTTCTAGAAAATTTGGCGTCACGATATATGCTTGCTTTATCAATGTGTTAACACAATCTCTCATACCATCAGCATCAAATAATTGAGATCCCGACGTACTTATCATAACCGGATCTACAATAATCTTAATATTTCTTTCTCTGAGGTAATCTAGATGATCTTTTAATACGTCAATTGTTGTCTTAGTCAACATACCAGTTTTAATTGCCTTCAATGGAGCATCTTCTGAGTTCTCATATCCCTCCAAAAAGTCTTCGAAATTGAGCTTTAATATGTCTTTTAAAAGGTACTCTGGTGTTGGTTCGAATGACTTAACAGATTGCGTATTTTGACCTGTTAATGCTGTTATACATGTCAAACCATATACTTGATGTGCACTGAATGTCTTCAAATCAGCTTCAATACCGGCACCTCCTGAACTATCTGAGCCTGCGATGGTTAAAACAGCAGGGAAGTTGTCTCTTTTTTCGGCAATAGGACTTTCAAGCTTCACTGTTGTGTAATGGACCATCTTTGCCTTTGTCATAATGGAATAATGTACATCCTAGTCTTGTTCTACATTTGAGTTGCACAGTTGTAAGTATTCAAACTTTTCGCATTCGGAGACTTTTAATCGCATAGAATTCTACAATTAATGCGCTTATAATAGTTCATCATACATTTATAAAAATATTCAAGTTTTGTTAAGTCTAGTATAGTAATCTATTAAATCCAACTCACTCTTCAATGTTTCTTCCCTATAGCCAACTCTAATATCTGGCACATTTGTTTTTTCAATATCATTACCATCAATACCTCCTACAATAAACTTTTTCCCAAGCCAATGCTTCTTGATTGCAATTTCCCATCCTGATTGCTTAACTGAGTTACATGCTAATTCACACATGTCCACCCCTGATAGTTTGTATATTTGGGCTGCAACAGAGTATTCTTCTATCAATGGTTCTTTGGTGTATGAAAATTGTAATGGGTCATCAGTCGATAAAGAAACATTCATACCCTTCTGGAAAAAGCTGTAGAATGGATTCTTATCATAGGTTAAGAATAGGGCATTGTTTGATAATGGCGACATAGCTAAACCAATTTGGTCTAAATAATATAAGTACTGGATGAATGGAATTTTTCTCAACAAGATACCATGGGAGATTGAATGTGATGTTAAAAATGCACTGATTAAATGCTCAGGATCTCCTGCTTCACCACAATGTGGTCTCAATAAGAAAGTATTGTGTCCATTCTTTAATCTCAATTGATTTAACGAGGTAATATTGGCATAAAGATAATATAAGTAGTAAGAGTATGGTGGATTAAATGGTAAATCCCATTTGTTTGCGACAGGGTAGTTTCTGGATTGAATTGATTTCTCCAGCTTAGATTCATCATCAACCGAATCAAAACCAACGACTCTTTGTAAGAAAATATGCAATTTTGGATGACTCTTAGGATCTATGGATACCTCAAATAGTGGTTTAAATAAATTAACTAGAATATCGTGGAACGTAGTAACATTTCCATTTTTCTTATATAAATCATACAATCTTGGGACTTGAATCAACCAACGGACGTTATGACTAAATAATTTGTTATCAACAATCCAGCTTGCCAACTTATCCCATTCATGGATAGATCTTCCATAAATTGAAATTCTCAATTCGTTCATTTGGTACTTCGAACTTTCTAAATCATCCATTACCTGTTTTGTCAACTCAGCTAAATACTTACCATTGATGAAGTTGTCAGTTTTCAAAAAAATTTCTCTTAATCTCGATTCCCCTATAGGATTATACTTTAAGTTGAACTTATCGAATCTATGGAATGTATCAGTATGAGCATGCATATCTAAAGTATCGATAGATAAATCATAGGCACTTAGTTTTAAAGATTCGAATACTTGGGCCAAAGTCAAAATTCTACCATCTCTAAAAATGACTTGTTCATTTGGCTGAGTCTTCAATTTGTACTTGATAAATCTTAACAAGTGCTTTTGATTCATACATGCGGAATGATGAATGTGAGTATCAACTTTACGAACATTATAGAAATCACGGTGTGGGTTACGTTTGGAACGCTTGTTTTCTTCAAAATCATTAAGAAGGTAATACATATTCCACTTAGCTTCCAAGTACTGCAACCTTTTGAAAGCAAAGGATTTTGCTGGCCCATCTGAAGAAATCTTTGTGATTTCATTCAAATCAGAGTAATAGTTTTGCAATGTAGGAATTTCAACAATCTTCTCATCGCAGTCACTCTTGTATACTTGAAATACACCTTCTTCGTCTTGCTTGAAATAAAACTCGTTGCTTCCTTCTGGGATAATACATTTATTGAAGTCAAATTCTTCTTCTTCGTTTCCTCCATGAGGGATTTGATTGTACTTGTTTCTGGACTTATAAGTAGGCTTTGGAGCAGGGGGATAAATAGTCCAACTATCATTGTTTTTCGGGTTTTTCATCTCATCATCTTGAATTGAGATTTTGAGATATTTGTGTCTGAGATCAAGACATGTTTTGACGTCTTGATATACTTCAATTAACTCTTCTGATGGATGTTCCTCTGGTAAAGTATTTGATTTTAAATCAGTATTCTGGGAGTTGGACCCTAATGGATGATAAGGGTATTTGCTAGCTGAATGGTTAAGAGGTAAATCAATAAAGGACTGTCTTCTCTTAATAGTATTTGAATGTGGTGCACTATTAGTTGCTTGTCCATTCCCGTTACCATTACCATTATGCAAAGCTTCAAATGCTTTTACTTTCAAATCATGATCTTTAATGAATCTCTCTTCCGTTGTTGAGAAATGAGTGGAATTATGGAATTCCTCACCTTCATCATCAAGCGAAAGTTGATGAAATGAACTTAAATCACCATCTTTAGTTGAATATTTTGCATTTGCTTCGCTCTGATTCTTTCCACTCAAACCCATTCTGCTTAATGAAATTATTATTTCTTTCTTTAGAATATAAGTAACATTTATCCTTTAGCTCCTCCGATGCGCGATGAGTAAGGCTGATTTTGGACAACTCCGAAACAGGTTTTAATCTAAATTGCCTAAAAAAGATCATAGATAGACTATATATTAAATAATAGTACAAATGTGTATATATCTTTGATTATTGTCTAATTTTAAGGCAACACCGTTATTGGCAATCTAAATCTAAGTTCACCTCCATAATTATCAAACTTATAATCTTGGAAGATATCAAGATGTTCATCTTGCTTTGTGGTCCTATTTCCGCTTTCGGTTTGTAGTGGTTGTCTAACTGTATCTTCATCCAGTTCTTCCTGGGCAATAGATAGGTTTTCAGAAGATTGGTCAAGTGTATTCTCCGGGTTTTCTTCAAAATCATTTAAATTGAACTTGAATACAAGGTAATGCTTTACGTCCATCAACTTTGAGCTCTGGAATTGTTGAGTTAAAAACTTGGGTAAATTAATCATACCATGGACTATAGATGGTTCTGATTCATTACCAGCAGATTTAGAATTCACAATAGCCGATGCAAATAAATTATATTTAATACTGGAGCTGACTTTATATATGTTCTTGTAATCAGTTATTTTTCCTTCATCTGACTCAGTGTGAAAAGATTCATGAGTTTCTAGATGAACGATTAAACCTGCTATTCTCGTTTTGCTAATGCCATCTGGGTTTATGTCTATCACAAAGTAGATATCTTCTCCAATATGAAAGTAAGGCTTTGAAATACTGAGAAGACAGAGATCATGATCATTAACTCTGATTTGATATTGCGTCTTCAAGTGATGTGGTAGCTGTGGTATTAAACCTGGCTCAATCTCTTCCGTTGTATCATGCATGTTTGGAATACTCTTCTTTCTTTCACTCGTAGATATCTTTGGCATATTATATAAATCAGAATCAATTAAGGTCGATAGATCATGAAGTAATGTATGTCTTCCTTCCTTCAAATCTTCGGATACAGAGTTGGCTGGATCAGCGCATTCGCTGGTATCATCACATATTATTACATTCCAATTGTGGTCGATCTTTGTTTCTTTCAAGAAATCCTGTTGCAACCATCTTTCATGTGTACCTTGTCTTCCTTCTTCTACTTCTAAAGGAAAATAAACATTGCATGACTTCATTTTATGGTGCTGCTTTGACATCTGCAGCAATCCGACTATTAACAGATACTTTATACTAACCCAGCCTTGATCACACACAGGCCTAGTCATTCGAGTATTATAGGAGGGAGACAATCCTTTAATTTTTGGAAATTTAATATGAAATGTTTTCGTGCATCGAGATGCTAGATTCAAATCTGAAAATAATAGAAATTGAGACGTTGAATAAAACGGGATTATAGAATCAGTCAACTCCTTTAGCGATAATACGCCCTTGGCATTTTGGTGGTTGTGTTCATGATTATCATCAATTGTCTCTGGTACGTTAACTGAACCAAATGGAAATAAAAGATCCTGTAAAAGATATCTATTGTTTTCATCGATTGTTTTAGGATCGTGTTTACTTAAAATACTGGAATTGTTCTGAGATTCATTGATAATCAAATCATTGACTCCACCTAACCTACCACCTATCACCATTCTGTCCTTTAAATTTCGTTTAATGAATGGAACTCTAGTTAAATTAGATTGAATTTCATCCTCGTCAGCTGTGTTCTCGTTATCCTGATAATGAGATGCATATTCTTTGTTCACCCACCAAGAAGACCTATCCGAGTAGCTATCAATAGGATTGGATGATTCTTCAAGTCTGAAGTTGTAATTAAGTAGAACGTATCCAAATAATTGAATATACCCTAGGAAAATCTTGATTTCTGAACTTGGATTCTCTTTGTCTACTTCAACTCGATCAGGAGATTCACTTTCATTAGATCCAAATATGTTATTAAACCATCCCTTTCTCTCATCAATTTTCTTTTCGTGGTCATCAGTATGAGGATTTATAAGTATAGCATTATTCAGAGTATTATGAAAACTTAATAAGCACTCTGTTTCACTATTAGATTTTTCCAAATAACTTAACGAAATCGATAACTGATTATTAATCTTTTTAATGAAACGAGGTTTTACGAACTCGGAATATTGTTTCAGATCATGTCTCAAATCAAACTGAGGCATAATTGATCTAATGATGGTATCAACTATCGTATTAAGATTGGCGTATCTAAATTTCTGGTTTCTAGAAATCCGCGCTGTTAATATTTACATGGAGAAGAATTCAATTTTTTATATATTGTAATTTAAATAGAACACTTCCAGCAGTGGTTCAGATTGAATGCTTGATTCAGTGGCGACAAAAGGATTATATACTCATATAGAAGTAAATTTTAAATTATTAAGAAGCCATAAATAATTCATTCAACTTTCTGTTCTTGGTTAGTTTGTTGATATTGGCTGCTAGGAGCTTGAATACCTTCTTGTTGAATTTGAGCCATCTGCTCTTGAGTTGTTCCGTTTGCTCCAGCACCAATAATTTGATGAAAGTCTAAAATTTCACTGTACATCATTACTCTCCAAGTGTCAACAGGTAAATCAGCATCATTAAAACTCCAGTCGAACTTAACTTCACAAACAGGTTCATCAGTTGGATCGTGATAAGGTTCCATGTAAGGATGGGATAAAGCATCCAATGCACTGATTCTCTTTTTCGGATCAAAGACCAACATTTTAGCTAATAAATCGATTGCTTCTGGTTCAACATGAGTGCATTGAGCAAACCTTTCACTGAAAGGAATAGGATCTCTATGAGGTAATGATTGGACAAACCTTAAAGTGTTTTCGGAGCATATAGTTTCAATAACATCAGGCGGTGGGGAACCCAATAATTCTGTAATAATTGAGAATTGGTGAACATGGTCTTTACCTGGGAATAATGGTTTGCCTTCTATCATTTCTGATAAAATACATCCTACAGACCATAAATCAACCTCTGTATCGTACTTTTGCCAAGTCAACATAATTTCTGGTGCTCTGTAATATCTGGTGGAGACATAACCAGTCATCTGAGGATCCTGGATTCTTGCCAAACCAAAGTCACAAATTTTCAAATCACAATTTTCATTGATCAAAATATTCGATGGCTTTAAATCACGGTGAATGACCCCAGCTGAATGCACATACTTAAGCCCTCTTAATATCTGGTAAGTGAAATACTGAATGAACTGCTTTTCTAATGGTCTCGAGGTCAATAATCGATGCAAGTCCGTTCCCTGTAATTCGGTAACAAAATAAATATCTTCTAATGGCGACAAAAAAATATCATCCAAAGTAATAAGATTCTCGTGTCTTAAATGTTTTAACAACTTTAATTCTCTATATGTACGTTTAGCCAATACCGATGTCAGGAACGGCTTCATGATCTTCTTCACAGCAACATTTTGCCCGGTCAATTTATCTATAGCCGAACAGACAAGCCCGAAAGCTCCCATACCAACTGGGTTTAAATCAGTGTATCTGTTTGTTATTTCAAATACTGTTCCAAAGATCTGGGTCCTGGTAAACTCGCCGTCCGATACCATTTTATTCCTTATTTATTTATAATTAGTCCTTCAAATCCCCACTAATGAGTTCGTATTTCAAGATTTTAATTGTTGACTAAAAGTGGAATGCGTATTTCGATTAGTATGTTACTATCAATTACCTTCCAATTATATAAAGCGAACTGTATGAAAATAGATTAAATTGTTGTTTCTTCCCTGATGTTAAACACTCTATCAAATTGCTTATAGTACAATAAAAGATTTTTGTCTACCCCCGCACGACCGATGGAAAAGGTTCCAAATCAACCATCTCGTTATGGCAAAATAAATGAATGTATTAGACGCTAAAAATATATGATTACATATGACTGGCATAATGCCGATTGAAAGAGAATTATCGAATGTTCATCATTTTTGTCATTCGCTTCGTAGAATGATTTAAACCACTTTGTTCGTCGTCTGCATCGATTCTTTCGTAGTCTCTTCTATTGGATTTGTATAAATCAAATAATGACCAGAACTTAAGGTTTTCATCACCTGCAACGGTCGCTAGAGTTAAGGAATCGGGACTTAAGCATCCACTTAGGATTCTCGAATCGTGGGCACCCATTATTTCTCCAGTTTTCTGTAAAGTAGGATAGTTGAACAAAGAGATATTGTTTGTAGGGAAGCCATGAGTGGCCACAATCTCCATGCCTGTTCCCGATGCATAACCCCAATTCAAGGAAGATATCTGGGAACCTGTCTCGATGGTGTTCACACGGGCACCAGTCGTTGTGTTCCAGAAGTTGATAGTCTTGTCCGAGGATCCGCCACCAGTGGCTAAGAGGGACAGTTGGAAAGGGCACCACAGCAATGCCTTTACAGCTGCCCTATGGCTCAGTTTAGAGAAAAGAGGTTGGGAGGAAGTATTGTTATGACATTGGCGTATGTCCCAAATGCATACTAAGTTGTCGTTTCCACCGGAACAAAACTGCTGGCCATCGGCCTTGTATTCAATTCCACATACTTCGGCCAGGTGTGAATCTTTAAGCTTGTTCACGACGTGGTCGGCAACTCTTACATCCGAATGGTATATATTACCCATTCTGGATCCGCTTGTGAGAATATGCTGGTACCAAGCTTGGGATGCAATCCTTGTTTGATGGTTATCACAATTTAAGGTTCTGAGTTTTGAGTTGGTTTCGATATCCCAAATTTCAACAAGACCGTCATCTTTTCCTATCGAGATGTATGAACCATCATCCGACCATCTTAAAGAGGTGACTATAGTCTTGTTTGGTAATTCACAAAGTAGCCCAACTGAGCCTGTGGAGGCATTCCAAACATATACTGCATCTTCTAAACCAATGGCCAATAAATTTGTCAGAGACCATGCTAACAAATTCAAGTAAAAGTCATCAAGCAACCCCGGAGCATCGAGCACTCTTTCAGGAGCTGTTGGAATCTTTTTAGCCCGCGCTGAGGCCGCTGCTGGTCGCAATGACTTATTCATAAAGCTATTCAATACTAACTTCGATGACGAGTTGGCAGTTGAAATATGGCTAAATAAGTTAACTGGCTTTTTTCTTTCTGGTGGTAATGGCTGAAACTGCAAAATTCTAGAATTCACTTCTAGGCCACATGCTTCAGCTACATGATGTTGGTATATTTTTGATGTTTGAGCTTTAATATGGGTTTCTGGTGATGCATTAGGATGGGGGTTTGTGGTGTCAGTTTGTAATTTTCCGCAAGTGGAGTTATGGCGTGAAGGAATAAACCTATCTGATGATGTAGTAGACGACTGTTGTTGATTATCAGATGAGCTGGAGGAGCCTCCTGTAGATATTAATGAATTGGTACGACGCAATTTATGTTTAGGTGAATGCGAGCTGCGTGATAATACCAACGATGATTTCGATCTTGGATTGGAAATAGGTGCTTTGAGTTTAGGTCTTGGAATGAGCTTGGCATCCCATGGAGTCTCTAACCCACTTTTGTTTAGTTCTCCTACAGGAGTAGGTGGGATATGGTTGAACTGGATCGTTTTCCTACTCACATTAGGACTCATATGCTGTAAGTACACCCTCTTATTCGGTGACGAGTTTACCGCACTATCACCACTCGGAGATGTACCATAGCTTCGCTTTTTGGAACCAACTTCTTTCTCTGAATTTAGTGGAGGCACACTCTTGATGGGAGAGCTATTCGATGGTGAATCAAAGAATAACGAATGAGACATGTTAGGATGCAAAATATAAAATGACAAATGTTTCTATGAATGCTGACTTCCTTTTCTCCTTTTTTTTTCTTTTAGTTAGTTTGGCTTTATCGTCTTAACTTAATGTCTCTCGTGAATATATTTACCAACAAGTGTGATGCATCTATTACTTCTATAAGAATACTAAGTTTGGAATGAAATATTTAGGATAAGTAGACAATTAAGCTTTTGTTGAATCTGCTTCGGCTTTCGATTTCTTCTTAATTTTCCTGAAGATCGTTCTTTCGATTTAATTTAATCCGTCTTTACTAAATTGCCTTATTTCATTAAATAAAATCCACTAAAATTACTGTATTCGATATTACTATTATCCCATCGATTGTATAAGCCATTGTACATTCTATTTACAAATATTCCTAATTAGGAACACAAATGAATATGTCATTTTCTTATGTAATATTTGTCGTAAATTTAATATTTTGCGACATGTCACATGACACTCTCAATATAAGCCAGTTCGATAAGATCAAGATGAATAAGGTAACGATACTATACGATATATTACACATCTAGATAGTATAACAGTGAGTGGAATAGTTTAAAGGATAGTGGATATTATAATACTCGACAACTATTAAATGGGACAGCAAACATCAACGCCAAAAATCACTCTGCAAGATAGAGCGATTTTCCAGTTGAAGCAACAACGAGACAAATTGAAGCAATATCAACGGAAGTTGAATACTATAATAGAGCGGCAGAACAAATTGGCTAAGGAAGCTATAGTTAAGAAAGATACTGCGAGGGCGAAGGTTTACTTAAGATCAAAGAAACAGCAGCAGACCACGATAACGAAAACATACGAGCAGCTCGATAACTTGGAAACGCTAATCGGTACTATCGAATTCAAGTTGATTGAGAAGGATGTGATGTATGGGTTAGCACAGGGGAATGAGGTACTAAAGACCTTGAACTCGGAAATGAGCGTAGACAAGATAGACAAGGTATTGGATGACCTAGAAGAAGAGAGATTGAAGGTGGACGAAGTACTGGATATGCTCGGGATGGGTTCGGGTTTGAGCAATGGTGAAGAGCATGAAGTGGACGAGGAGCTAGCTAATTTAGAGGCGGAAGTCAACGGTACTAATAAGGTCGAAACTGGTGCCCTGCAAGATATTGACATGCCTGCCGTGCCTAATACTAAACCAGAATCGAAGATCTCCGGAGAAGAGGAAGGGGAAAAGCCAGTCAAATCTGAGCCAAACGAGCCAATAGCTGCATGATCATGGATGTACATTATTATTTATATAGAAGGATCAAATAGTACGTTAATTTGAAAAGAACATCGTAAATCGTTAAAACTTTGCTGCATAATTAAGCATCAAGCCAGTCCAAGAATTCTGGAGTGAAGTAACTGATGATAAGTCTTGCTCCAGCACGTAAAAATCCGTGATGACTCTCGAATGCAATACTCTTTAAATCAAAAACACCCTTTTCAGCTGCAGCATGTAACATAGCATACTCTCCGCTGACTTGGTAAGCACAAAGAGGGTAGTTCTTACAGATTTTTGCCGCTTCACTAACAATATCCAAGTAGAAAGTGGATGGCTTTACAATGACAGCATCAGCACCTTCTTCCATGTCTCTTTCCAAAGCACGACGAGCTAAACCTGAACCTCCAGATGGTAACTGATATGCCTTTCTATCCCCATGACTAGGGCAACTACCGGCTGCATCTCTAAATGGGCCATATAAATTCCCGCTAAACTTAGCTGAGTATGACATGACCAAACATTTATGGGCCAAACCAGCTTTGATCAAACCAGATTTGATGTATTTAACTCTCCCATCAACCATATCAGATGGTGCTACAGAATTTGCCCCAGCTTTGGCATAATTGACTGCAACCGCACCAATTCTACGAACAGATTCTTCACGATTAATAGATCCATCCTCGTACAAAATACCGCAATGGCCATGACTAGTATATTCACATAAGCAAACATCACACATAATAAACAAATCTGGGAAGTTCTCTCTTAATTTACGAATAGCCAATATCACTGGTCCTTCAGGATCGTCAGCTGCTGTTCCTAAATTATCCTTTACGCCATCTGCTAATGGAACACCAAATAATATGACAGCTCTAAGACCTTTTTCAACAAGAGTACGCACATATGGAATCAACTTATTGATACCGTATCTCTTGATATTAGGTAATGCGTCGATTGCAGTAGCTTCGTCAGCACTATCAGAGACAAATAATGGAAAAATAAACATGTTCTTAGTAAGTTGACGCTCATGCTGCCATTCTCTTGATAACGGGTGGTTATAACCCCCTTGTAATACTGAAGAGATAGGGGTACCTTCTGATGGTAAAAACTCTGCCTTATGTACCATGTTGTGATGATTTAACCTGGTATATTCTTGTTAAAATGCTCTTTCCATTTTTCAGTGAGCATTTTCACGTCAGGCGAAATCGAGATCGAGGTCGATTTGTAATGTACGAGGATAGAAGTGACAGAAATCAAATACGTATAATCGGAGACAAATAGTTATATAGGGGTTGTGTAAGTTTACTGAAGCTTCTTACTATCGGCATTTTCATCCCTCTTGTAGCACTTTTTATAATAATAGCATTGCCCTGCTACAAATGAATTAACAATAAAGGAAGAAGCATATCCAGCAAGTAAAACGTAGTCTCTACCTAACTTGTTAAAGCTTTGGATAGTAGTGAAAACTCTTATCAATGACCCAAGCACATTAGCACCAACCGTTATTTCAGATAAATGGCTAGTTGACTTTAAATCATAATTTTGCTTAATCTGGGGCAACTTAGAGATGATTGAAAGAGGAATGTTCAACACTTGTAATGCTTCGACAAGGGTAGGTTCCGCAATCTTTGTTAAGAATATAACAATACCAACCATGATGGAGATTGGAGTCGCAAGTTCTTTCAAGGCCGTTTCAATTTGCTTCTTTTCAGACAATGTATCCCTCTTTGCTAATTTGGCTCTAAGATTGTAGTATTCAATTAATAAGATAATAGCAACATTTTGAATCCCTAGTAAGAATGTTTCACCATAGTTTACAAATTTGTTATTATTCTGACGATTGTAAAGAACGTGAACTAAATAAACCAAGGTTTCTAAACTAATTCCTTCTAACGATAAACCACGAGCTACAGATACCTTTTGAGTCAACAACTTTGGGTTAATAATCTTCTTTATTTGTGGGATCTTGATAATTGATGAAACACCAACGATAGCAGACCCGAGAACAGCCGATAATATCTTTGCTAATCCAATTGCACTCAATTGCTGATAAGCTATTTGCAAAATAAGCTTTTTTGACACATCTGGATTAAATAAAAGCTTGATAACATCAAATACTGAAGGAGCACCCATTATAATCTCTGTCTTAATATCTCCTTTGTAATGCTTCTCTGAATAAGCAATGAAGATCCTGCCATGAATAAGTTTGGTATGGAGTTCTTGAATCACCCAGAACAATACCGCAATTTACATGTGACAATAATATACCATAGTCCCAACTATTAATATAATTACAATATATTAAGAGAGATATATAACCTATATAAATTGTTCCTCATTAGGGATTAGAATTGGATCTTCTTAGTACGATTAATCTTAGATAATTCTTCTTTTAATGTAGCTTCAGATTTTTCAATATACTTCAAATTTTCTAAATGCAAATTCAATAATTTGACTATCTCCTCAACAGGGTTTTCTTGAGATTGCTTAAATTGCTTGGTTTCATTATTCGGATCGCTCATATTCGATATGTCATTCAATAGGTTTTTGTTGAAAACATCACTCACTGAGTTAATTTCATTGATTAAGGTTGTCAAGTTATCACCCATGTTATCCAATCTTTCGTCTAATAATTCTGCATTATGATACGCCTTTTCACGCAATTTATCGGTAACACTTAAGCCACCATTGGAACCGCCATTTGAGAAATTCGATAAGCCGCTGTTAAAGCTATCGTTAGTTGCATTGTTTAACTCAATATTATTCAACAAAATATCAGCTTGTGCTTCGTAATTGTCTAATATTTGATCCAATTCATCTTGCTGGTTTTCAACAAATAGCAAATGCTGGTCGATTTTATTTTGTAAAGATTCAGCTTCCAAAGTGTCCTGATGCAACTTGGATATTTCATCCCCACTCTTAACTAAATGCTGATCCCATTGCTTTACTTTAGAGGTATATGATTCAAAAATATTTGATGTTGTGGAAAGTTGTTTAGACCATTTAATTATTAAATCATCCATGGTCTTATTATCGATAGATACTGCTTGTGGTTCAATCTTAGTAGGCTTTAAGTTTGGTTCTTGTTTAGTAGTTGAGGTTGTAGTGGTAGCGAGTGACTTATCGTCCTTTTTCTCTTCATCCTTTTTAGCACCAAACGAAAATCCTGAAGCTGGCTTATCATCCTTCTTTTCTTCGTCTTTCTTCGCACCAAACGAGAATCCTGAAGAAGATTTATCATCCTTTTTATCTTCATCTTTTTTAGCACCAAACGAAAATCCTGAAGCAGGTTTGTCGTCCTTCTTTTCGTCATCCTTCTT